CGAAGGAGCGTCAAAGTCAAAGGCAGCGACATGAAAGCGGTGACCCAGGAGAGCCAGGAGACCCGGGACGACGGGGGCCTCCAGGAAGGCGAGGCGTAGCGCGCGGGGCCCCTCCGGCCGGCCGGCGGCAGTGTGTGAAGGCGGCGTCGGCTGGCCGCGGCGGCGTGGCGGCACGCAGTGACACGTGCCTCCATGTAACGGGCAACCAAGGGAACAGGGCGCGCCGGCGTTTATTTCGGTCGCGGAGGGTGGCCCGTGGCGGCCGGTTCGCTCTGTCTCTCTCGCACCCCTGCGGCACGGCCGGCGAGTGCGACAGGGACAGAGATGGCCGCGCGCCGCGCCGCTGGGGGGACCCGTGTGGGGACCGGGCGCGGGATGGGCGATGGGCCGCGCGCCGCCCGCCGCGTGTCGCGTCGCGTCGCCTTGCGTCACGCGTTACGTCACGAACCGGTCAGCGACGCGTCCCTCGTGCCGCCGTTCCGCCGTGCCGCCGTGGAAAGGAAGAAAGGATAGGCGCGGGAAAAGCGGCGTTTTTCAATTTTTCCTCCCGGGTTGTTTGTTTTCCTTTCACGACGTTGGCGCTGCTCTGTGTGTGTCTGTCTGTGTGCGCTCCTCCGTCCGACCATTAAGCCGCGATTTCGCCATGCTCCACGTGCAATAATGGCTGACTCACTGCCGCTGCCGCCGGCCCGCCGGTCAAGGGGTTGAGTCACGCGGCAGGGAGACGTCGCAGAGACACGCCGCCGGTCGGACGGACGGACGGACAGACAGACAGACAGACAGGCGGGCGCAAACAGAAGGTGCGAATTTAATCGTCTTCTCGTCCTTCACGCCCAGTGGCCCCGGTGGCCGGGCCGGCTGAGCTCGCCTCGGCTTGCCTCGCCCTCGCTCGAGGGCCTAACGAGTGTGCTCGCCCCGCGCGGCCCTTGTCCGCGGCCCTGGCCCTGGCTGGCCGGCCGCGAGGTTCTTGTCCGCGGCGGGGATGCCGCACAAGGCGGACAAGGCGGGGGCGGCGCCAGGTTGACTGACCTGTCCGTGGCCGCGATGCTACGCGGTGCTACGTGGAACGCGGTGCCGTCTCGTCCGTCTCGTCTCGTCCGATCGATGGTCGCGTCTGGAGATGCGCGGATTTGATTCCCCGCGGGGCGACCCCATCGCGCTGTCTCTCTCGCACCGCTATAGGACGCGCCGTGAGTGCGAGAGAGACAGCTGGCGGGCTAAGCGGCCCATAAAACTCGGCTGGCCCGGTTCGCGTGCCGCCCTGCCGCCGCGCCGCCGACCGCGACTGTTATTTCGGGAGCGGGGTGATTGGGCTAACGAGGAATCGACTTTTGTTTCTCTCTGTGTTTCTGCTTTGCTTGGCGTTGCGCGTTGCGTCATGCCGACGTACTGACGGCCTTCCTGTCCTTGTTGCAGCCCCAGCAGCACCGTCCTGACGAGCCTGGAGCAGGTCCGCGAGTACCTGCTGACCCTCGGCACCTGCAAGTGCGGCCTGGACTGCCCGCTCAGGCCCGAGTCCGTCTTCAACTTCGACCCCAAGGTGAGTGGACGGCTGGACGGCGACACTGTTTTCTCGCTCGCACCCTTTCGGCGTTCCCGTGAGTGCGAGAGGGACTCGAGGGGGGACGGAGCGACGGCTTGCGGTGGCGTCGCGTCGCGTCGCGTCGCGTCGGATCTCCGGCGGGACCGGGCCACCTGCTCCGTCCAATACGTCGGTCTCGGTCTCGGCCGGGGCATTGACTTGGCGGGGGCGGCTGTGGGGTGGCGCTGTCTCTGACAAAGACTCTGCCTGCCCGCCTGCCTGCCTGCCTGCCTGCCCGTCGGCCCCTCCCGGAGGCTCGGCGCTCGGGCTCCGTTAGGCCCCACCTCCTTTATAATAAAGCATATGGCTTTCCAGGCCTTCCAGACGCCCGGCCATTGTCGGGGCGCTGTGCCGCGCCGCGCGCTGCGCGCCCCGAGCGGCTCCAGCACCCCGCCCTTGCTTGTTTGATGCGGCGGGGCGGGGCGGGGCGGGGCGGCGACGGGGTGGCGCTGAATCGCCTTGATTCTGCCCCCGTGCGTCTCAAGCACGCGCTCTCCGTTGTGTGCCCAGTGTGCGCGCGGGGGTGCTCTTTCACCTCTTTTCGCGGGGTGTGTTGTTAGCGCGCGCTCACTCACACACACACACACACACACACACATACATACACACACACCCGCGCAGGTTTACGCTCACTGACTCACACACACACACGCACGCACGCTAACGTAAACACAAGGCAGGCGGTGCGGGCACACTGCCGGCGGCGGAGGGTGGACCGTCGACTCTACAAGCTGCTCTGTTGTCGCCCCCCGTTCCAGTGTTCCCTGTTGATGCCTGCAAATGTGACGGCCGAGGGTCCTCTCCGGTCCTCTGCTACTTTCATTGTCCGTGGATGAATGCCGGCGCGGTCCGCCGGGCCGGGGCCCTGCCATGCACACTGCCACTGGAGCTTAGCGCATTGTGCTGCACGTGCCGGGGCCTTATTTGCCGGCTGATTCAGAACAGTGGCCCGTCGCTCTGTCTCGCTCGCACTCCTCGGCGACGCCCTGGATGACTGCGAGCGGGACAGAGACGGACAGACGCATCAGACCGCCGTCCCCTGCCGCTGTCGCACTGTTAGGCCCCTGTCGTAGCGCCTGCGAGGTAGGCCGCCCACCCGCCCCGCGGCACACCGCTGTGGAGACGGTGGCCTACCTCGCCCCTGCGAAGACGCCGGGTAGGCCACCGTCTCCACAGCGGTGTGCCGCGGGGCTGGTGGGCGGCCTACCTCGCAGGCGCTACAGAGGCGTCCGTACGCTCAAAGTGCGTCGAAAGGTGCTCTCCGTGTGGGACTTTGTAGCGCTTCGTAGCCGCAGACAGGGACGCCGACGACGTGACTTGGCGGCTGTGGCCGTGGCTGCGCTGGGCTGCGAGCGGACAGCCCGGCTGGGTAGGCATCCCGCTCCTCTGGCGTGCGCGGCGGCCGGCACCGGCCGCTTGGCAGGCGCTCCCGCGCGACCGCACTAGCTGCCTATGGCTGCTCCCCGCTCCTCCCCACGCCGCCGCCGCCGCCGAGTAGTGCCAGTGCGCTGCCCTCACCCTCACCTGGCTGGCGCGGCTGGCGGTGGCGCGTGCTGTTCGGCCTGCTTATCCATCCATCTATCCACCTATCCATCCAGCCGCGGGGCGGGGCGGCGGGGCGGGGCGAGCAAGCAGGAAGGCGGCGCGATTATCATGTGGGAGTTGGCTGTTGGTTTCACTTTCCGCGGCTGGCCGGCCCTGCCGCCCTGCCGGCCCCCTCACTGCGCCCAAAGTGATTCATTGCGCCGATTAGCTCGCGGCACACGGCGTGGGGGTGGCTGCCCCTCGGCCAGCCCAGCGCCTACCAGCGCCCCGGCCGGCTGGGCTGGCCGATGCAAAGCATGCCGAGCAAAGCGTGCACGCCGAGCCAAGCGAGCCGTCGAGACGGTCAAGGGCTGCCGGCCGGGCCGCGGAGCACCGGCCGTTCTGTCTCTCTCGCACGTATACGGGACGACCCGCGAGTGCGAGAGCGAGGAGCGCGACCCTCGGAACGCGTCTGCAGGGCCAAGGCGCCGCCAGCGAGGCGACCCGTTTGGCCTCCAACAACACACGCACACGTCACACACGGCCGCCTCCTCCTCCTTCTCCTCGGCTCGGCCCGGCGGCCCGGCCGTGCGTCTCTCACGCACGGGCACGCGCGTGCGGCAACACACAGACACACACACACACTGACGCGGCGCGCTGGCGGCGTGATTGGCGTCGCCAAGTCGCACTTTGCCGCACTTTATTGCCGCCGCGTCGCGTCGCGCCTTCCAGCGCCTTCCAGCGGCGTGGCTTCCAGTCACTTCCAGTGGCCGGGGCCCATTACCCTAATTAAAGCGAGTCGTTGGCGTCATTACGTGAGCAGCTGGCCGGCAGACCGATCCCGAGAGTCGCTCGCGTCGCCCTGTCGTCTCTCTCGCACTCGTGGGGCGTCCCGTATAGGTGTGAGAGAGACAGAGCGACGAAGACTCTCGGAATGAGTCCGCTGCGTTGCCTGCATTCGGCTGGCCGCCACCGGCCGGCCAGGTGCCGGCCGGCCTTCGTTTGGTATTCCGGGCGGGGCGGGGCGGCGGCACCACCCTGGCTGCCCCGCGGTGTGACGGTCATAATGGTCATTATTGTGTTATTTAGTGCGCCCGCACGGCGGTAGCACAACCACAGCCGGCTCACTCCGACCGGCGCTTTCGCTCGCCGCCCTGTCTGTCTCTCTCGCTCACGGGCCGTCCCGTTTGGGGGCGAGAGAGACGGGGCGACGGTCGGCGTCATTTCCTCGTTTCCTCCAGGTTGATGCGATTACTTGGCGCTGCGAGGTGTGGTTCTGCCCTCCTTTTCCTTTTTGACTGTTCCCTTTGGAGGTCTTTAATACGGTGGCGGCTGGTCCGGCCGGCCGCCGCGGTGGGGTGGGTTGAAGCTGGCCAAAGGGGGCGGATTGGATTGATCTTTTTTTTTCTTTTCTGTTCGTTTTACCTTTTCCTGAAGGAGGAAATGATGCGGTGCCGGCGGGGTGCCGGCGGTGCGGCGATAGGGAGGGAAAGGGGGGGGGGGGGCGTAATACGATCGGCGCGGAGTGAGCCACGCCGCGCCTACACCGCTACTAATGAGGGGCAGGGGGCTGGTTATCAAGGCATCGCAGCCGGCAGGGCCAGCTCCGCGGCCACGTTCTCGGCCGCCTCCCGGCTCCCAGACTGGAGACGCGCACTGGGCTGATTTGTTTGCTTGGTCTGTTTTGCAGGTGGCTGGCCGGCCCAGCCCGACGCCCGTCGCCTCCGCCGAGGACGTGTGCAGCCACAAGCGGAAGCTCGTCGAGTCCCTCGGCGTGGCGTCCAACAGCGGCAGCGGCGGCGGCCCTGGCGACGCCGCCCCCGGCGCTCCTGCTGGCCAGGACGCCGCCGTCCCGGCCGGCCCCGCCGACGCGCCTGCAGGCCAGGACGCCAAGGCCTACCTGCAGTGCCCCGCCGTGCCCTCCCCCGCTGGATCGGGGGGCGGCGTCGCGGCGCCCTGCGGCCTGGAGGCGCTGCAGGCCGACGGCGTGGAGGCCAAGAGCAAGGAGAACGGTAAGTCGCCTGTCGGTGTTCGCGCCACCCTTAGACAGCGTTTCTCTTTGGTTCCTCTACCTGGCGGTGCCAACCGCATTTGATGTCGCGATACATGTCTGGCGACGAGCATTTCTCCAGGCAAAGAGCGTTTATTCAGGGGATTGGGTCGCGGTAATTTCTAGCCGTCATTTCGAGGGGTGAGCACTGTAAGATTTAGTGTACAACGAATGTGGGGATGTGCAAGATTTCTGCTATATTTGTCACTCTTGTTGCCTACTTACAGGGGTTTGTTGCCTACTTACAGGCGTTTTCGCCTGCAGAATGTGGGAATGTGTTCAAATTTTGTACACAACGAATGTGGGAAGTTATTCCCCGCCATTTATTGTTCGCGAGTCGGAAAAGTTTGCGAACCGCTGCATTAGCAGTTCCAGGGCGTTGGTGCCTCGCGCTGCTGGCTGGCTGCTCGGGCGGGGCGGCGGCGGGCGCGTCATGTGCGGACACCCTGCAGCCCCGCCCCTCCGCGGCTTGTCCGGTGGCGCGCCGTACCGCCGCCTCCACATCCGAACGCGGTGGCGCGGTGGCGCTCCAAGCCGAGGAGCCGGCGAGGGCGAGCTGGCTGTACAGCACGACGGGCACAGCCACCCCACCGCCCCGCCCGACCGTCCGTCCGCCCGTCAGGCGAGGCGAGGCGAGGCGAGGCGGGCGGGGCGAGTGTGTTTCATGTCGTTTCGGGGGAAGCGGAGAAGCCGAGAGAAGAACCGGGACGAGACGAGAGCGGTAGTGAAGGAAATCGACCCGGTGGCCGTGCGCGGCCGATCGCCCCGCCCCGCCCCCGCGCGCCGCCCCGCTCGCCACCCCCTTGTCCTTGTCGCGTTCAAGCTTTGCCGCACGCCGTGACGCGACACGCCGAGCACGCCGCCGCGCCGCCACACGACGCCTGGAAGCAGAAGCAGCCCACTTGTCGAGCCCTTCCCTCCCCTTTCCCTCTCCCTCTCCCTTGCTCTTTCTCGCGCGCTCTCTCTTTCTCTCTCTCTCCCCGAGGCGCTTTTGGCACCGCGGATTGCCGCGACCGCGGGCTGGGCCCCACCTGGGGTCGGTGGTCGGCGCTTTGGAGGATGCGCCACTTGCCGGCGGCCTTTGCCCCGCCGCGGCGCGGTGCGGTGCGCGTCGTCGGAGTGGCGTACTCTTGGCGCCCCCGCTCCCTGTCCTCCGGCTCCTGCTCTGCCCCCGGCTCTGCCCCTGGCTCTGGCCCCGGCCCCGCGCGGGACGCAACAGAACAACGGGGGCGCGGCGGTCAACGTCCGCGGTGGCGGCGTCGGCGGCGGCGTCGTGTCTGCCTTGGGGCATTATCGCGCGGGGGCTTGCTCGGCTTGGCGTCCTCGGCGTCCCTCCGCGTCCCTCGGCGTGACCGACCGGCACCCCCCGCGGCCTTGCGGGCCTGGCGGGCCGGGCGGGCCTTTGGGCGTGTAGCGCGGTTTGCACAAGCCGCGTCTATTTTGGCCCTCTCGTCGACTTGTTCGCCGCCCTTTCTGTTCGTGTTCGCTCGCCCCCTCCCTCTCGCCCTGCCGCCCTGCCGTTCTGCGGCCTGGACGGCGTCCTCTTTTCCCAGCCAACCCTCTCTCCGCTGCTTCTCTTCGTTTCCCGCGCCGCTTCGCCCCGCTTCTCGCCAGTCAACGAGTCCTTGTCCCCTTCCACCCTTCACTCGCACCCCCTCGCCCTCCACCCCACACTCTCCTCGCTGCGCCTCGCCTTGCTGTTCGGTGTCTGCCCGGTGTTGGTGCTCACGGTGTTTGTGTGGCCCCGCGCCCCGCCGCGCCCCGCCGGGCTCCACTTGACTCGCTCCGCTCGCTGAGACGAGATCAATAATTCCTCCCAGGAGAGCGCCGCCCCGCCCCGCCCGCGCCGCCCGCCACGCCCCTCGCGCACCCCCTTTGTGGCCAGGCCGCTGCCCCGCCGCTGCCCCGCCGCTCATCGCCTTGATTCCTTTCTTCTCCTACCCCGCGGGCCCCGGCCTGCCCCGGCCTGGCCCCCGGGCCCGGTGCCACGGTGCCGCAGGGGCGGGCAGCAGGCCGCAGTATCGTGGGCCGGGGGGTGGCCGCTCGGCTAAGGTCTGCTCGGCGTGCTCGGCGCCGGCCGGTCGAGGGGCCGGTGACCTCGAGTGATCCGCGGCGAGGCCGGCGTGGCGTGCCCGGGGCGGCGCTGCAGTCTGTAGACGACCGCCTGGACTGCCGCGGCGGGGCGGGGCGGGGCCGGGCCGGGCGGTAACGAGGTTTAGAGGGTCCATTGGAGAGGTCCGGCAGAGAGGCCCAATCTGGAGAGACGGCCCGGCGGGGCCTCGGCCGGGAGGGTGCGGCCGGCGACCCCCCGGACCGGATTGCGGATTGCGGCGCGGCGTCCCCGGCGTCCCCTCCCTCGGCCTCGGCGGCCTCCCTTGCCTCGCGTAGCGTCGCGCCCTCGTTGGGAAAAGGGAGACCGCGCGTGGAAATATCCACTCGGCGTGTTTGCCTCGGCGCCCCGAAGCGAAGCGCTCGCCGCGCCAAAGCGCCCCCCCGGGGCCTCGCAGTGCCGCGGAGTGCCTCTCCCTCCCCCTCCCTGTATCGGCCCATCGGCCCGCCTCCATTCCGCTGGATTTGGCAGCCGAACGGTGCCGGCGATGCCTCGAGGGTGGCCCGGCCAAGCCCCGGCCAAGCCCGGCCAAGCCACGGCCGGGGAATCAGTTTGGCCCTTGACGGGGGCCCTCTGAATAACGACCTCGGCCGGCGGACGCTGGCGGACGCTGGCGGACGCGCTGTGCGTCGTGAGGGTCGCCGTCCCTTTTCCTCGCCTTCCTTTGAGGCGCCCCCGCTCCGCCCGCTCGCTCACCCCCGCGGTCACGCCGGTGCCGATAACAAGCGCCGCCTTTTGAAATCCCGGCCGTCCGTCCCGGTGACGTGTCATGTCATGTCGCCCCTCGCTCGGCGGCCCCCTCGCCACGCCTCGCCACGCCCGCGGCCCCAGCTTTATTGAGCGGCGGTGACGTGACTTGACGCCGCCAAGGGCCGACGGGGCCGAAGGGCGGGAGCAGCCGAGCAAGCCGAGCAGCGGTAGGTGGTCTGCGACGGGCCATCCCCATCCACCCCCTTGTTCCACTCCGCGTGATGGCGTCCCAGTGTGGCGGCGCGCTGACGGCGCTGACGGCGCTGACGGCGTGCTTTGGCCGTGGACATGACGGCGCCGCGGGCTTCGCAGCACGCATGCCCGGTCGGCCACCTGACCCGTACCGTACCTGACCCGTACCGTAACTGACCCGCAGGCCAACTGGCACTCGGGGGGTTAATTTTGTAGTGGCCAAGCGAAGGTGCTCTGCCGAGGGTGCCCCGCGACGCCGCCACGCCCGGGGCCCTGCTGGGGCTTCTTCTGAGGAAGTGAGGGGACCGGACTGAGCTCCACGCGCTCTTGTGAGTGTGCGTGTAAGTGAATGTGGAGGGGGACAAGGAGGGACACGGGGTCATCTCTGCGTTCTGGGTGGTTTCGTCGCAGTCCACGAACTTCGCTCCATTCTGCGGTGATGTGGGCGGAGCCTCTGCAGACTTTGCTCCGGACGCCGCGAGTTGGCGTGCCTCCGCCTCTCTGACGCCTGTCCGGGTTCCTGGCAGTTCCTGGTCCGTACTGCCGTCTGTCCGAGGCGTTGATGGGCAACGCAGCAACGCACTGTCCGAGCGAGGCGCTCGTCGCGGTGCGCGGAATGCCGGGAAGGCAGTCTAAAATTGGCGCTATCGCATCGCGGTCGCCGTTCGTTGGGGAAGTGGTCGATTGTGCGAGGTGGGGTCGCCTGGTCGGCCTGGTCGGCCTGGTCGCCAGCGCCCTGAGTGCCGGCTATCCCGATGACGGCGGGACTGCGGCTCTGGCTGAAGGGGCCCCACCCTCGGCCCCGGGCTCGCCCCAGCCCAGCCCGGCTTTGGGGAGTTGAGTCTCGCCCGGAGTCTGGAGTTGGAGCCGCGTGAAATGTGGCATTTTATCGAGTCACGGACCCCCGATACCCCCGGGACGCCCCGGAGGCCCTGGAGGGCCGGACTGGCGTAGTCTGGAGGAGACTGGGTTGTGCGACTTCCAGTGCCTCGCCGGGCTGGGCTTCGCTGGGCCGGGTGGGGTTGGGGTTGGGGGTGAGGCGGGTGACCCGCAGTCGAGCAGCGCAGCGAGCGCAGCGCGGCGCGCCGTGGCCCAGGTCGCGGTGGAGCGCGAGGGACGCGGTGGGGGGCGTGGCGTTGCCCTCGGCGTGGCGTGGCCCTCCGCGCCTGCGAGGTGATGACGCAGTGTGGCGTGCACCAGGGTGTCCTTGTCTTTCCTTTGGAAGGCGGGCCCGGCTGGACGGCCGGCTGCAAGCAGGCTGCAAGGGGTCCGAGCCAGGCGCAGCGACGCGTGAAGATGGGCGTCGCGATAGACGCAGGACGTGCAGGCGGTGCAGGCGGCCGGTGGCTTGCACTGGGTCTGGGGAGCAGCCCTGCCGAGCCGTTCCGGAGGACCACCTGTCTCTCTCGCACTCCGACGGGTCGCCCCACGAGTGCGACAGAGACGGTTGCGTCGAATGGGTCCCTCGGAATGGCTGGGCCGGGCTGGGCCGGGCTCGGCAGTGGGTTGAGCTGCCGAGTGCCCCCCCGGCCGGTGCTTAGCGAAAGTGATGGGGCTTCGTCGGCTTGGCCGGCCGCGCCTCGCCACGCCCCTTTCTGGCTGCGTGCGCCGCGTGTGAACACGCTGTGAAGTGAAGCCCGGCCGCGTGGCGTGGCGTGGCGCGACCGCCGGATTGCAGACCGGCACGCGGACTCGCGGTCCGCGCCGGAAAAATCAATGTCGTGTCGCGGGGACCGGCTGGACGCGGGCCGCGCGGTGGCGGCAGCGGCCGAGCGAGCCTGGCCGAGGTCCTTGCTTGAGGCCATGTCTCGCCATGTCTCGCCGTCTCGACGGCTCCCACACGAATTTGCTCCCTTTTGACTGACCCCGCATCGCTCGCCCCGCCGTGCAGTAGACTGATTCCGAGCGGGAGGCCTCTCCCTCTCTCTCTCGCACTCATGGGGGCTGGGAGAGAGACTGACCGACGGGACACCCCGTCCGGAGTCATCCTGCAGACGCGGCTTTTGGCTTTGCCTGGCCTTGCCTGGCTTTGCCCCCGGGGAGGCAATAACACACTCGTCTCGAGTTTCGCCGGACCCGGTGACGTCGTGACATCGCCCCGGGCGGCAGCACGGCAGCACGAAGGGGACGCTGCCCCTCTTGGCCGCGACGCCCCGCGACGCCCCGCTACGCGCCGCCAGCCGGGCGGAAGGGATTGGCTGCGTTGACAGGCGGTGGGACCCGGGGGCCCTCGGCAGTCATTTCGGTTTGACGATGACGTTTTGGCACTTGTTGCAGACGACGCAGTGGCCGTCCGGCCGTTCGAGGCCATGTCGGAGGTGAGCGGGGGCGCTGGCGTCTCCGTGCAGGTGAGTAGACGAAGTGCTGCCCCTCGTCGCGGTGCCCGTCGTGCCCGTCTCGGCGTCCTGACTGAAGCGGCGCGTGTCGTGTTGCAGGACTGGGGCGAGGCGGCGTCGCAGGTCGAGGCCCTGAGTGCTGGCCACTCGCTTATGAGGCCGCTGCAAGTCCAACAGCAAGTCCAACAGCAAGTCCAACAGCAAGTCCAACAGCAGGTCCAACAGCAGGTCCAACAGCAAGTCCAACAGCAGACCCAACAGCAAGTCCAACAGCAGGCCCAACAGCAAGTTCAACAGCAGGTCCAACACCAAGTGCAGCACCAAGTCCAACAGCAAGTCCAACACCAAGTCCACCAAGTCCACCAAGTCCAGCAGCAGGTCCAACAGCAAGTCCAGCAGCAGGTCCAGCAGCAGGTCCAACAGCAAGTCCAGCAGCAACTTCAGCCACCCCAGCTGCACCCGCTGGCCGCGACGCGCGTCCCCGCACCTCCGCGTCAGCTGACGGGCCTCGTGGCGGCGCCCGCCACGCCCATCCAGATGGCGGCGCGACAGAACCCGCACGCGCAGGCCGCGCTCAGCCAGCTGCAGCAGCAGCCCCACTACGCGCAGGCGGCGCAGGCGGCCCAGCACCCCTTCCAGCAGGCGCCGCCCCTGGTGCCGCCCCTAGTGCCTCCCCTGGTGCCGCCCCTAGTGCCCCAGCACGCATTCCAGCAGCAGCGGCAGCACCCCATGCAGTACCAGGCGTATCAGCAACAGCCGCGCCAGGAGCAAGCCAAGCCACCCCAGCCCCAAGCGCAGGTCAAATTGCAGTCCATGGGGCAACCTCTCGGCCACCAGACCCAAATGCAACCGCAGATGCACCCCCAAATGCACATGCAGATGCAATCCCGCATGCAACCTCAGCCGCAGATGCACGCGCAAGTGCAACCACATGTTCAACCGCAGATGCTGCCCCATGTGCAGTCGCAGATGCAGCCCCAACCGCCAATGCCGCCGTTGGAACATCGTCGGGCCTCTGTGGAGGTGGCCGAAGGCAGCCGGCCGCCGAGCCAGCACAGTGCGGCCCACGCCGCCATGCCCAGACACGTGCATCAACACCAGCAGCAGCAGCTTCGGCAGCTCCAGCATAAACCGCCACCTCAGGTTGCACCAACGCAGCAGGTAGCCCAACATCAGCAATTTCAACTGGCGGCGCAGCAGCAACCACCTCAGCAGACTCACCAACCGCCTCAACAAAATCAGCAGCCTCACCCACACCAGCAGCAACTTCAGCGCCATCAAGTCCAGAAACAGCATCCGCCCCCCTTGCATCTGAACCAGCAAACACAGTTGCCTGTGCCACCCCTGCAGATGCAGCAGCAGCCTCAGCGACACCACCAGCGCCTGGTCGGACAACCTGGCGTCCAGCAGACCCTCAAAACCTACCAGGGCCAAGAGGATGCGGTGAAGCAAGCCCCGGCTGCTCCTCATGCTGTTCATGGCGCTCCAGCGGCTGCCCGCCCGAGGGCTTCCTCGACTGGTCCATCACCGGCCCCGTCGCCCGCCCCCATGGTTGTTCCATCGCCTGCTCCGTCGCCCGCCCCCACGTTTGTTCCATCGCCTGCTGCACCGGCCACTCCGTCGCCCGCTCCATCGGCCACTGCGTCGGCTTCTCCTTCAGCTACTCCATCAACCACCGCATCGGCTGTTCCACAGGTCACGCACAACGCTGTGGTCACGACCCAGGTCGCACAAAAAGTCACGCCGCAAGTAGCACACAAGATCACGCCCAGGGTGGCTCTTCCCCAGGCCGTGCCTCAGGTTCCATCCCAGACCCCTCCACAGCCCGTGTCTAAGACTGCTCCTCAGGTCACACCTCAGGCCGTGTCTAAGGCTGCACCCCAGGTCGCATCTCAGGCCACACCCCAAATCGCTACTCAGGTCGCACCTCAGACCACATCTAAGGTAGCACGTCAGACCGCACCTCAGGCCACGCCTCAGGTCGCACCTAAGGTCGCACCTCAATCCACACCTCAGGTCGCACCCCAGACCACACCTCAAGCCACTCCTCAAGCCACACCTCAGGTCGCTCCTAAGGTCGCTCCTAAGGCCACACCTCAGGTCGCACCTCAGGTCGCACCTCAGGCCACACCTCAGGCTGCACCTCAGGCCACACCTCAGGCCACACCTCAAGTGACACCTCAGGTCGCGCCCAAGGCCGCCCCGCCGGTCGTCCCCCCGCTGCACCACAACCCGGCGCCGAAGCCTGCCCCGCCACAGGACCAGACTGCGGCATCCTCGAAGCAGCCACAGCAGAGGCCCCCACAAGTGCAGAGGGCGGCTGTCCAGCAAAATGCGGTGGCGCCGGCCACGCCGCAGCCTGTACCAGCGCAGCAGAAGACCCAACAGCGGCCCGCTCCGCAGCTGCCCCAGGCGGGGAGCGCGACGTGGCAGCAGCAAAAGCTCCTGCAGCAACATCAGGCGCGCTTGCAGGCTCAGCAGAGGCCGTCGCCGACGTCCGCGACGCCCCCCGCACTCAGTGTAACGTTGGCCCAGCCCAAGCCGACGCCGACGCCGCCCCTGCAGCGCACCGCGCCGCAGCCGGCGACGCCGCCGTCGACGGCCAGCCCGGAGGAGCGCGTGCCGCCCTTGCAGCAGCACATGCCCGCCGTGTCCCCGCAGTCGTCGTCGCCGTCCTGGATGGAGGACGTGCCTTCCCCGCCGTCGCGGCGCCGCAACGGTCGCGGGTTCAGCGCCAAGGTGTACGGCAACCGCAAGCTGCGCGCCGCGGGGCCCGCCACGCCCTACGCGGAGCAGCAGCGGCGGGGGGCGCAAGGGGCGCCGTGCCCCAACGTGGACGTGCGCCACCTGCGCCAGCTACCCCAGCTGGAGACGCCGCGGCCGTCCTTCCTGGAGGACCCCAGCGGCTACCTTGCGCAGCAAACGGCCATGCTGCACAACACCATTTCTCAGCAAGCGGTCACCAGTCCACAGCCGACGCCGCCACCACAGGCGAGTCCGCAGCCCAGCCTGGCAAAGACGCCCAGCCCGGCAGCCAGCACGTTCCAGGTGCCGACGCCCAACACCTCGCCGCATTCCACCACCATGAACAATCTTGTCTCACCCGAGCAGAACAAGCGACCAAACTCGGTGCGTATTGACACATTTGGTCTTTCTTTTTCATTTCTTGTCATCTTGGTTCTAATTTATTTAATTCGTGTTGCGTTAGGTGGATCCTGTATCGTCGTCTACGTTTTCCGATTCACGGGAGGCTCTGTCTGGGGGCTCATCACCCCAAGCCGAGCACACCGTGAGGGGAGCAGGCCTGCAGGGCATGCCGACACCACAGCCCAGCCCAGATGGGACTACATCGGCCGAATCTCCCCCTGAAATTGTGAAACGGAAAGACAGCAGTGTGTCTGAAAGAGAGCTGCTTAAGGCTCCTTTGAACAAACCTATTCAGGGCGGCACGGTGAGCACGAGTAATGGTATGAGTAAAGCAACTCACCAGCCAGATCCTGTGATGAGCCTTCCATCGTCAAGACCCTCTTCCTCTCAGGTATTTTTAAACTGTGGTGTCCCTCTCAGATAGTTTCTACACGAGAGTACAATTTAATCTAATTTTGGTACATTTTGTTTACAGTCTCCTTGTATCACTGTAAGCAGTAGTAATACTGTCCAGTCAAAAGCTGCTGTGTCCATCAAGTAGGTTATCAATTCGTATTACCTTTATGTATTTAAAAAAAAATTAAAATCAATTAATTTTTTTGTTGGCATTGTTTGCATAGGTCTGTCCACAAAAGTCCCAAGAGACAAATGCCCAATTCTCAGAATCAGCAGAATGTTCAGATCACGCCCGCTCGTGCGATTTTGCCAAACTCGCAGCACAGTACGACTATTATTCCAATAACCATAAGTCAAGCAGTGCAAAGTCTTGCCTCCAAAGGCGCACCAAGTCAGGCTCAAGTCACTGCTATGGCAAGCAGTCACACTGCGAGCAGCAACACTATCACATCCGTTGTGGCAGGCCGCTCTCCAACAGCAGTGACAACCGTGACCGTTTCTGCATCATCCTCCCCACCAAGCACAACATCTCAGGTTCGTGTTTTGACCTAGGCTACATTTGCACTTTAGCATCCATCAGAACATGATGCGCCACGTGACTGCACTCTGGAATCGTAACTTTTAAAAAATAATAATGCTTGTGATCTTTTTTAGGCAACACAATCTACTGCCACAGTTCAACTTACGAAAACTCCCATGGAAGTCGTGCAGAACCTCGTCAATAATATACAGTTCACATTGCAACCACACCAAATGCAGCAAGTTCAGTTGCAGCTGCAACAGCAAGCTCTTCAGCTAGTCCAGCAATCCCAAGAACAGGCACAAGGCTCTCAACAGCAGCCTGGACCACAACAGCTGGTATTGCAGCAAATTTCCAACCCATCACAACATGTTTTGCAACAGGTCCAACAGCAGGCAGTTCAGCAAGCTCAACAACAGGCTCAGCAGAAAGCCCAACTTCAGGCCCAGCAGCAGGCTCAACAACAGGCCCATCGGCAAGCCCAGCAGCAAGCAGCGCATCAAGCGCAACAACAAGCAGTCGAACAAACCCAACAGCAAACACCTCAACACGTCCAACAGCAACAACAATCCTTACAACAGCAGCAAACGCAACAAGCTGTTCAACAAGCCCACCAGCAGGCTCGTCAACATGTCCAACAGCAGGCCCAACAGCAGGCCCAACAGCAGGCCCAACAGCAGGCCCAACAGCAGGCCCAACAGCAAGCCCAACAGCAAGCCCAACAGCAAGCCCAACAGCAAGCCCAACAGCAAGCCCAACAGCAAGCCCAACAACAGGCCCAACAGCAAGCCCAACAGCAAGCCCAACAACAGGCCCAACAGCAAGCCCAACAGCAAGCCCAACAGCAAGCCCAACAGCAAGCCCAACAGCAAGCCCAACAGCAAGCCCAACAACAGGCCCAACAGCAAGCCCAACAGCAAGCCCAACAACAAGCCCAACAACAGGCCCAACATCAAGCTCAACAACAGGCCCAACAACAGGCCCAACAGCAAGCCCAACAACAAGCTCAACAACAGGCCCAGCAGCAGGCCCAGCAGCAAGCTCAACAGCAAGTTCAGCAGCAAGCTCAAAAGGTAATATATTCCAGTCGCACATTTGTAACCCTTTCCAGGGTTAATAAATTCAAAAAGAATAGTTCACTACGATTTGGACCCTAAACTCTTCAAAAAATATTGATAGTTCGCTTGGTTTTTGGATTAAAAATTGTTTTGTCCACAGGCACTACAGCAAGCCCAACAGCAGGCCCAACAGCAAGCTCAACAACTGGCCCAACAGCAAGCCCAACAGCAGGCCCAACAACAGGCCCAACAACAGGCCCAACAACAGGCCCAACAACTCGCTCAGCAGGCCCAACAAGCTGCCCAACAAGTTCAACAGGCCCAACAGCAAGCTCTTCAACAAGCTCAGCAGCTGGTTCAGCAGCAAGCCCTCCGACAGGTGCAACAACAGGCACAGAAGCAGGAACAACAGCAACTGACGACAGCCCAGCACCTACAGCTTGCTCAAGCTGCTCAACAACAGCAGCTCACTCCTGCTCAGCAGCAGCAACTAGCGCAAGCTCAGCAACAAGTTGTGAAGCAAGCTTTGCATCACGCTCAACAGGTGGTGTTGCAACAACAGGCTCAGCAGCAAGCTCAACAGCAAGCCCAGCAGCAGGCACAGCAGCAAGCTCAGCAGCAGGCCCAACAACAGGCATTGCAGCAAGCTTTGCAGCAAGCTCAACAGCAGGCTCTTCAAGCTCAGCAGCAGGCTTTGCAAGTGCAACAGCAAGAAAGTGTTTCTCAGCAGCAACACCAGGTCCAGTTGCAGATTCAGACTCAACCTCAACAGGGACAGCAAGGTCAACAGCAGGTCAGTACTATCCACTTACTATTTCATTGTATTATTCGGACTTTGGTTTTATGCAAATGTTTGTTGTGCGTGTTTAATCATGGACTTCAAGACATGGACCCTAATTTTCTGAACTTTGTTGGGGTAGTCAATTCTCCATTCTACTTGAACACATTAACGTCGAGAGTTTACACTTTCTTCAGCATTATACAGTATCTGTTTACTTAATACCTAAGAGTCGTACCCACGAACCTTTCCTCTACTTTGGTCAGTGTTGCATTGGGTTCATTCTGGCGCAGACAACCCGTGAATATTAAAGTATTGCCGTAACTTCTCCCATGGATCCCTGACTTGATATATCACACTTGGTTTTTAACTCTAGCACACACGTGGCACAAATAATGTTAAGTTGATGTATGTCCAAGTCCTTTTGACAGCTTGAGTTGGCACTGGTTTTTGTATGAATGGTTGTTGTGGCTCAGGCTGCTGTGGTGGTGAAGCCCACTGCGCCTGCTGGGTTGTCCGCCACGCTGGCTACGCAGCCTGCACACCATATCCTGGTGTCAAGCGGCGGGCAGCTGCTAGTGGCGTCCTCAGCTAAACCAGCCATGCCGCCGCTGTCCGTGAGTCCCCTCGTCACTAGTGTCACAGCAGCTATGACGCAGGTACCGTCGCTGGTGGGAGGCTGAGGCCATTCAGACGGTCTGGAAATGTGCAACCTTTCCCCTTGCAATTTGCGAAAGGAATTTGAGCTCAAGCTATTTTAACATAATTTGTATACTTTCTGAAAAGTTGCACATGTACCATTTTCCAGACTTTGTCAATCATGACAATGACCTTTTCTCCCCCTTGCTCACTGCCTTGGTCTGCAATGTTCGCATTGGTTCTCGCTTGCTCGCTTAGCTCACCAACTCTTTGTCATGTGTTAGATCACCACTTAACTAACACTATTCAGACTAACTTCGTTATTGTTCGTGTAGAGTAATTTTGTGATAGGGATCTAGTCCTCTGTTGTTTTATTTTAAATGTATATAGATGCATGGGAACTATACGAGAGCTAACACTGGTGCGCCGCTGCTATCTCTTCTAGCTCGAGCACTTCCAGTCCTGAAGAACTCCCGTTATATTCCCTAATAAATAACAAAATTATAAATTTTTGAATCAATTTATCCATTTATTTTGCCTGTTAGACTTGCATGGGTCTCAATCAATGTTAAGATTTTATTACCAAATTCTCCAGGTAATTTTGTTTTGTTTTTGTGTCTTAGATGAAATAAGTGTTTCAATAGTGTTCTATTATGTGTTTGGTGAATGGAAGTGTATATTTTCACCACACAAACCCATTTGCCTTCGGCCTGTATGGGCCGCTGCCCGCCGACAGGGTTGCATCCAGAGAAGCCTATCGCCCCCCTTGAACTTGAATTTGGTTGGCCAGTCCCGGATGCATCCGTGTCAGCGGTATAGCACAACGACGGAACTGTACGGCGTCCTTGGGCTCCTTAATCTCCTGATACCTCTTTATCATCCCATTAATTTGGCATGCACTTAATAAACACTTGATCACAATGAGTAAAATTGGGGCTACATTGACATCCTCCCTTCCTAGACAGACAACACTATTTACCTCCAAAATGTGAGGAGGCGTTCTGTCTGTCTTCTTTCTTTTTGCAGTCAGGGCGGAAGGGTTGGTTGTTTGTTACCTCACAAACCATCTCATTTGGAGTCTGTATAATATTCATTTACCATTCCCAGGGTTTACCATCCCTTCAGTGCACGCAAGAATACTGCTTTAAACTATGGTCTTCACATAATTGTGGTTTCTTTTGGATCATAAGCTTTTCCAGTTCATTAAAACCTTTAAAATGCTTGTCATCCCATCCAAACACTTCATACGGTGATCCGTTGTCCCGCTATTCATGATTACATTGACCTGAATCAATATGTTCATTTTATACTGTCATAATTCAACATCAGTCAATTTTTTTTCTTTTTTTTAAATGTTTGTAAAAGCATGTGACTTAGTTGTGACAACTGTGGGCAGTGTTTAGTTATCTTTTAATTTTAAATACGTTACACACCATCAGAATTTCTTGTTTAATTATTTCTTTCATATCTAAGAAGCTCACAATAGATTTTATAGATATTTGTTGTAGTTTAGTACAACCTAGAAAATTTTCACTATAACTCACAAAGGAACTGAGCACCTTGTGCTCTTACTAAATATCAAAGATTAATTTTTTCTTTGGGTGGAAATTTGAATGTTTTAACTTTGTTTTGCAGGTGATTCCTGCTGTGGGCATGATGCAACAAGCACAGACAATGCAGTTGGGACCGATGGTCATCAATGCTTTGAATGCCCTTCAAGGCCCTCTTGTCCTTCCTGGAATGGGAGGGGTCATTGGGGTTGACGGCTTGACCCAGAATGTTCAGATTCCTCAACTGACACTATCAAACCTCATCCAGGTAAATACCATATTTCTCTTGCACTGATCCCTTTTGCCAATTTTCCTCTACTGGTTGTTAAAACAACACTTTTTTTCTTTGCAGGGAGATGCACGAAATTTTTTAAGTCAACACCAAACTGCTGCCTTACTTTCACCACCTGATGCAGCATTGAAAAAGAAAAGCAACAACAATAACAAGAAGCGCAAGACACCTCAGACTGTTGCAGTTCAGATAACAAGCCAACAACAGGCACATCAACCTCAAAATATAGCTCCAGCATTCAGCTCACCATCATCGGTCAGTAACCTCCGTTTTCTTGTTGTTGTAAATTTAAACCTCAAGACACATACATTAATTTCTTTCTCTCATTTATATTTTATCAGGCTCATTTTGGTGGAACACCTGTCCTCACTCTTGTACCGGGGAAGAGCCCTTGTGCACCTCCACAAATAGTGGTTAATCATGCGCCCGCTGCAGCCCACAGTCCAAATACGCAACCACCTCAGCAGTCGCCTTCTCAACAGTCCCCTCAACAGCAACAAGCGGCCCAGCCTCTATCATCCCCTGGACATATTAACTTGTTGCAGCCAATGAGTGTGGTAACAGCACCGTTGCAACAGTTCATTGTGCCTGGCTTGGTGATGGCAACGGATGGCTCAGGAAATACAACTCTGATTCAAGATCCTGTCGGAAGTTTATCCAACATCCAGAATATTCCTAATGTTCAGACAATATCCAACTTGCAGAACATGCAAAATGTTGGAGTTCAGTTACAGGTATTGTCTAGCAAATTTTGCTGCCTCTGACTACTTTTTGCAATCCTTTGCCAGCAGGACAATTTTTTTTAAATTTGTAATCTTGTTTCACAGCTTCAGAATGTTAATGGCCAAAATGTGCTGACTCCAGTCCAAACTCCTGTCCAAGTTCAAGGAACACCAGGGCTGGTCTTCCAGCGTAATGCAGGTGGTGGTGCACCTAAACTTACAACGGCACAGTTCATTAGCTCGCCAACAAGCCCGGCACAGTTTATTATTCCTACTTCGAGTACAGGTTGGTCAATCATTTATTAGTTGAAGTTTTCTCTTGTTGCCTCTTCTTCTACAGTGTACTCATTTTCTGTTAAAAGGTGGTACTCAATTTCTCATTCCCACATCTTCATCTCAAGGTTAGTGATAATATCACTGCACTGTTGCACTGCTTTGTAGCCTTCTAATTTTGCTGTGGTGTTTGGTTGTTCAGGGACCCAACTCCTCGCAACAAGTTCTCCTGGAGGTGGCACGCAATTCTTGACTACTGCAGCAGCCTTTGGAGGCCAACTCAGTGGTCAGCTCAGCCCACTTCTTGCTAGTCTGAGTCCGAATGGACAGCTCCAGGGGCAACACTTTGTATGTGAAACTTTTTTTTTTTTTTTGTGATGAGTCAATTCTCTTGTATTGATTAGTCAGGTGGGAACTTAACCTTTTACTACTATTTTTTTCAGACACTTAGCACTGCAAATGGTCAGACTATTCAGTTGCCTACTGGTCAACTTGGTCCTCAGACGTTGGTGGTGCCGTGCTCTGCAGCGGGCCAGCGTCAGCAGCCCCAACCAAAACAACAGGAGATTCAAATTGCTGTTAGCCTTGGGCAGCTGCAGCAGCATACTGACCAACAGGTAAGAAATCTATTGTTTCTACGCAACCTGCATGTGTTTTACAAGTGAGGAAGACAAACACGCATACCCCTATCAAAACCCCTGTATCTGTTTGGAGTGGTTTTGTTCAAGTCAATATATCTGAAAAGGGTTTTTTTCCTCCCCCTCCCTTTCTGAGTGTGTGTGTTTGTGTGTGTTCCTTTGTTCACCATTCTAAGAAATATTTTGACTTCTTCTTCTCTCTGTTTGTAAAAGTCTTTTAACCAATTTGATTGGGTTTTAAGTCCTGTGTGCACTTGAACACTTTTATGCATGGCAAAACGTTTTCCAAGTGTTTTTGAAGTGTTATTGCATGGTGTGCTGAAATCACCCTGTGTACTTCCAGAAACACAACCAAGCACAACTGCAAGCACGTCAGCAGCATCCAAACAGCAACGTCACCAACAACATTCGCAAGGGTTTACCTATAACAGTTGCTGGCAGCGCAAGCAACACCTCAGTCAGCAAGGTGGGATTAAGCACTTTGACAGCAAAACAAGCCGTCTCAGTTCAGGCAGTCCAGCGGCAACATGTATCAGCAGGGACCAATCTCCCCTCCACGTCCATCACTACCACCTCTACCTCTGCATCCTCCTCTTCCCCTGTGGCTATCATCACTAACTTGTCTGTGGGCTCGACCTGTCGGGAGGTGGGTGTGCAGTGGCTGTGCGTGCACACACATTCACTCTCTTTTGGTTTCTTCTTTACCTCCTGTCTTTTTTGATGCATGCGTGGCATTTTTGGTTGAAAAATTTAGGCTTACTATCTTAAAACTTCAGCATGAAATGGTATGGGGTTGTGGCTTCAGTGACATAACAAATGTGCTGTTTTTTTGTTGTTTTTTTAAATTCAAAACCCTAAAGATCCTTTTATGTTCTTGACTTTTTTTATTATTATTTGCTTTCTTTAGTTGATCAAATCGTCCTTAATACCCAATCAGCTAATTGTTTCAACAACAGCTAATATGTTTCATAGTTACATTAATATTATAATGTCCCTGCTGGCTTCCTAAGGAAATAAAAACAAAACAGTTGTGCATTTTTCAATATAAATTTTCAAGTTGCATGAGATGTTGAACTTACAAATTTCAAGTCAATATTTTGTATTTGTTTATTGTCTGTATGGTGTGACTTAAGGTCTCTGTTGTTTTCTCAGGTGGTGGCTTCACCAACAACTTCCGTAACATCTCGGACAACGAGTTCAGCAACTGCAAGTCCTCCTGACACCACTACCTTAAGCCCGGTGGCTGGAGGAGGTGCCACTCCGCAGCACAGCCCGAACGCTGACACCACCACCTCGTCCGTGGATGACGTCACCTCTGCTGGTGCATCGCCAGCAACATCCCCTGCCAGCACTACACATCAGGTCAGCTGCAGCCCCACTATCCTTCACATGAATTTTAAGCAAAAATTTTTCGTGTCTAATTTATGTTTTTCTATTTCTTTTAGATTACAACACCTTCGTCCCTTGCCATGGTTCACTGTGTGTCAAGCAGTATCGCTGAATCGGAACCCAATGATGCTGATTGGAATGCCTCAGAGAAGCAAAAGCCACACAGTGCATCCTCCCCTTCAACCATTGGGCCCGATAGCTACCTATGTGATTCAAAGCCTGTTGGTAGTGACATCTTTGTGGAGTCTTCCAGCAATTTACTGGCTCCACAAAACCAACAACAAGCACAACATCAGCATGTTATGTACACATATGGAGATGTCGGTCTTAATCGAGGTTCTTTGAAGAGAAAGCACTCAATTGGTGAGGATACATATGCCATCAGCAGTCATTCCAAGACTCATTCCCAAATGAACCAGCAGAACCAGCAACTGCGGAAGGCTGATAACATTGGCGGTGGTGAGTTTTATCTTATCTTAATCTGACCATAATTTTCACATTGCACTCATAAGTGGTGAAGCCTTTGGCATTGTGAGGAATTTGAGTTGTTATATCTTGGCAGTAGGGTACTAAACCAAAGCAAAACAGGTCTAGTTAATAGAAGAAAAGAACTTTTATGGTTTCATTAAATATTAGCTGCAGTGCTCTATTAAATATTTGCTCTGCTCACTCATTTGTTCTGTTCACTCATGTTAAAAGATAAGCTGAAGATTTCCTCTGTTAAAGAAAATATGGTTTAAAGCATGCTAAGATATCCATTCTCTTTTCCTGTGGTGGCAGGTTTTGACAAGAATCTTCCTTTTACATTATTTTTTTGCACAAAAAGTTGTATAGTTAGAGCTGGATAGATCAATCAATTAACTTTGTTGAAAATCTGATTTACCCGTAGTGCATTTGATTTGTTTTTCTCCTAAATAAGCATGCATTAGTCAAATATTTTAGATCTTAGAAGGCTTTCTGGAATATTATGGTCAGCTGCACTACTGCCATGATGTTTTTGATTTGTGAAAACAAAATGCCTGAAGTTCATAAAATTTGACAAACTTAGTTGATTTTATGTCATGCTATGACTCATTTTCATTTGCAATGGTTTCCATTTGGTTTCAATGCATGTTACGTTGTTGTATTTGATAAAATATTAGGTTTTTTTTCTTACTGTTTACTACATGATTTTGCATGAACTTCGTTTTCTATCCCCTTTCATTTGAAACCTTTGTTTTGGTACATTCCTTATCCTATGATTTGGTGAATCTGAAAACCCCTTCCTACTTCGCCTTTATAACTAAATGGAAATTTCATCTTTGTATCTTCCCTTCCACTCTATTTCAAATGTCAGCCTCCCTGTCCCTCCTTTATTATCCGTCACACTGCACTTCACACCATCTTCATTTCGTCATGCAGTATTCATAATAATAGTGAATTGATGAGTAATGAAGGAGTACCCCTTTGACCCCTCCCAGCCGAAAGCAGCGTGGCTGAAGGCGATCTCGTCTGGGGCCCCGCTCGGGGCTTCCCCGCTTGGCCCGGTCAGGTGGTCGCGAGTCCTGCCGGCATGACTGCCAGTCCCACGCCCACTGCCTCCGCCCCAGCCTCCGCCCCAGCCTCTGCCTCGCGCACGGCGGGCACGCTGACTCCTGGTACGGAGACCCCGGGCCACGTTTGGGTCCGTTGGTTCAGCGGCAATGGCTGCGGTGGTGGTGGCGGCGGCGGCGGCGGCGGCGGCGACTCGAACCGTGCTGTGTCGCTCGTTCCCAGAGAAAGCCTCAAGTCGCTGTCTGAAGGTTTGGAGGCCCACCACCGAGCCATCAAGAAATTCCGGAAGTGAGTTGAAGAAGTGGGATATCGTGACGCTCCCAGGACCCCTCCCAGGGCTCCCACAGGGGCAAAGGGGGACTTTCTCGCTTTGGTCCAAATATTTTTCCTCAGGCAAAATTCGGACATGGTTACACTGGTTGTTCCTTTTTTATTTCACCAGGGACTGTTTTTAGTTACATTTGTGTTCATCCATGCAGTTGATAATGTAGTCTTGGCATCCAGGTTAACTGCAGTGACTTTAAATAACAACTTCACTTCCCTTTGTCAACTTTTGGTGGTTAAGAAATTTCCGATTAATTGCAACAATTTTAACATCTCACACATGCTTAACCCCAATTCTGAGTTAATTTTTTGGGCATCTCCCATCCATGAAACAAACTGAAAAGAGTCTTTTTATGGACAACATTGAAATCTCCAGTTTTTCCAACAATAACAACAGAGTTTTTATTCCTTAATCCAAGGGATTGGTGTATCCTGGGTCTGGATTTTCCTTATATTTTTATTTTTTATCCTTGCTTGGCTGATTCTTTTCTTTTTTATTTTTTATTTTTAATGATTAAAAAAAAAAGGATAATTGGATGGATGTAGATAGTGGTTGTAGTTGAGTGAATGATTTCCAATTGCTCATTTTGGTGCTTTACAGTAGATATTTTATCCAGTAGAAGTACTGTAGTATTACTTATGTTTTATTGTCTAAACTGATTCATAATTCGAAAAATGTTTCATTGTTTTGTAAGCTGATTCAAATTTTGAATTGCTTTACAGAGGTCGGAAAATGAATACTCAGCTGGAAAATGCAATCCAAGAAGCTATGGCTCAGCTGGACAAAATGTCAGAACAAACCACACAAGATGTTGAATGTAAAGATCCTGCAGAATCAAGAGTGGTCACAGAAAAGCATATAGTGGTTCAAAAGCAGTCACAAAAACACAAGGGAAATTCAAATGCTGTCAAACAAAGGCAACTTCAGAGTGCATCTCAAAGTACCCCTGCATCGAAATCTCAGGCAGACTCAACTCCAGAAGTCTCAGTTCCCTCTTCAAATTTACGATCATTCTCAAGTTCTCCAGCCCATTCAACAAGACTTCGTCGTAGTAATCGTTAAATCATCATCCACTTAACGTCCCTTTTAAAATTGTGCATTTCTGTCTGCCATTGACGGAATGAAAGTGAGAAAAAAAAATCTGAGAAGAATAACTTGTTGTACCTGAAGGATTGCATAATTTATGTAGACTACTTTTATGGTTCTAAGTAGTATATCTCACAATCCCCTGTTAAGTTTTAGACAGATGTTTATGAATCAGGTAAAGTACATCACCCTGAAATTTTCCATTGTTTTAAACTATTCTTTATGTGTTTGTAATTGGAAGCACATGTTTATTTGTGATGTTCTTCTAATAATACTCTAGTCATATCATTTTATTGTGCTAATTGTGTTGAAGCATATTTTTTTATTATTTGTGCACTTTCTGACCAGTGTGAGTGACTTCCAGTCCCACCATGGTGAAAGCCATCACCATGATTGTGATTTAAAAAATAAAACAGACAAGAATGAAATGCGGTTTTATGATTGACTGTATGTATGTACTAATGCAATTTATGAACTGGCCATTGGCTTTTTTGTTGTTAGCAAAACCACCTCCGGATATTGGGAAACAATTATGTGAGACTTCTCTTCAGACCTGCATCCACTGTGGAAGCCTCATGTCAAGACTTTCATTCGTTGATGCAATATCTAGTTCCTAATTAAACCCCAGATGGCTTGTTTAATTTAAATCTAGCATTATGTGATATAATTAGTAGGACCGTACTTGTTTTTTTTTACTGTACAGACAAGCGTACATATTTGAAGTTTGTGTAAATATTCTTATCATATATGATCAGTGTTTATATGTAAATATACATATTACATACATATTTATGAGGCTACATAGAGACATTTGTGCTTTTGTAAATAAATCTATATATGTGCATAAATATTATTTACTGTAGATGTCAATTTATATGTGCAACTATATGATTGTTATTTTCTTGATATGTGCATGTTGGTTCAGAGAAAATGTTACTTATTAAAATTGTGGAGTTTTGGATATGGGTATGTTTTTGAATCCTCTTGTAGTTTTAGAATTGTTCAATGTTTACCTATCATTCAAATTTTGTTTCTATTGTAAGTGTAAAGAAAAGTATTCTTTAAGGTTTGTTTTGCCTGCTCAGGTTAATCCACCATTTCAAATCATTTCTGAAACCTTAGAAAGATCTGTCATTAATGTTGCAAGTGTATGGAATGACAAGTTGTGATTATATATTTTAATATAGTTATATATATATATACTTGAAAGTATATCCTTCCAAATTGTCACTGTTTTCTTGTTTTCTGTTACAATCCTTGTTCTTGTAAAGACATTCTGTACCAATGATGTAACACAATTTTCTGTGTTCTTTAAATGTCTCATTCCATTTAAGATGCTCTGCCAGAGAGAACCCATTTTTCAGGTGTTCGTTTCATTCATAATCTCATTTACTTTGATAGTATTACAAATAGAGTGCACTGCGTTTTACATTTTAAACAGGTCTTTCTTTCAAAATGATAGGTTCAAATTAAAATTGTTTTTACCATTCTTTAACTATTGAAGGTGGTTCCCAGTTTTTATTCTAAATTATTACATCACTGGCATTGATGGTTGGTATCACCGCCTTGCTCTGGCAGAGCCCTTAAGGAAATAATATGGACAATGGCTTATGTGATGTATGTGATAGTTGAAGTTGTGTTCAACCAAAGCTGATGAGGGAGGGACAATTCTGTACTGTTCTGTTGTTAATCATTTTGTCAAAAATAATATGGGACTGTAATAGGCTTGATGTTGTCGCACTTAAAAAGAGCAATCTACACTGCCTTTTGAATAAATTGTAACTGTTTCACCCCTCATTCTGTGTTGAGGGTAACAAGTCTATTTTCGAATCCTTTGTGTCTGTCTTCTGCATTTTAGTGATGATTTTGTCACCACCACTACTTCATTATGTTTGTAACACAGCTAGCTTACAAAATAACAAGAACACAACATAAATGTTCAGGCAGTATGTTAATTAATTGTTAAGTATGGTTGAGAAAGAAGAAATTCTTGTGCAATTTTTTTGTGCTTCCCTGTAGTATTGTTGCTTCTTGTTCAGCTCTTAAGAGTTTGTTGATGTCTTAAGGGCATTTCCATACCATAGTAACGTATTTAATAAAGCTGTTATCCTTACCAGCATGTGATAAAATGCAATCTGTACTTCGAAGCAAAACAAAATTTCTTAAGTATCACCACTATTTGGTGAGATATTGAGGCTCCGCAATTCTTCCTTGAATTTTTAAGTTTTTTTACCATGTATTAACCAAAATTTTGTGCAATGTCTTATTACGTGTCACTTTTGAGGAAAAGATCTGCACTTGTTAGTGTGAATAGTATCCTTGCAGTTCTTTTCAGTTCAATTGCAGCCATGAAAGTGCACTTCAAAGAGTGCAGAAGTCAGCCATACTTATGGCTATAAGCCAAAGATTACTGTCGCAAAGTGTTAACCATCTTGTAAAGATACGCTCTGATTTCTGTGCAATGGTTAACTATCGCTTCTCATGTTTGTTAAGCATTTTGTAGGTAGAAGAAAAAATTGTATCAAGTTACAGCATATTATATTTATTTTGAATATTTGTGCTACACATGTTGTGCTTCTACCAGTGCTGATAGCTTGTATGATGTAAATGTGTATGTATGTATTGCTGTCCTAAAGCTTTAGTTGCACAAAGTATTTGTACCATTGTTGTTTTACATCTGGTAGTAATATATTTAAATTTACCCCTGTAAATAAAATGATACCTATTCATGGGTTTGTTTCAATCAAAATGCCCATTCCAACTCAGATTGCTTAAATAAAAAACAAACAACAACAAAATAAAAAATAAAAGCAGATGCACAGTAGAACATGAAAATTACGAGATGACTGTCTTGCATTTGCCATGTGCCTGCCTAGTGCCTACAATGTAGAGTCATACAGGAGAAAGGAGGTTCGCACATTGGTGAGTTTAGAGATGGACTGTCGGATTGTAGTGTCCATGAATCATTATCAGATCACACAAAATAAGAGCACAACAATCTAGTCTTGCCTAAAAATGTGAAGTTTTTATTTTTTTCACGAAATAAACCAGGGAAGTACATACAATGGACAGACCTTTCAGTGAAGATAAATTATGCTTAGTTTTCAAATTAACCCCTGTGCAATAAGTACTGATTGGTTTCCTACTAGAAGACATTTTAACATGTGAAGTGATTACTTTAAAATATTTGTAAACAGTGCAGTTCCTACTTCACTAAAATAGAGACCAGAATAGATTTTTGAAACTTTTCAATAAAATGAACTACAAGCATGACTAGAGGAAATCAAATTGGTGTATTAGAACCAGCCAGCCAATGGTCATGGTGTCCTTCCTAACTAAGCAAATGAACAGGTACACTTCATTTGACATTAATTTAACTTGCTCAGTTTTCACTAAATTAGACTAAAACAATAACAGCCCGAGACAATTTTCACTTCCACCTTGAGCTATCACACGCTTCAAGACCCTGCATGATGGCACTTGACAAGGAGAGGCAATAGTTTCACATAATTCAAAGATATGCCTGACAACTCTCAGCAATTTGTCCTGACTAGCAGAAAGTTCCGATACTAGAAGATACAACTTCAATCTTAGATATATTTGAGCACAATTGGAAGATGCCTGCATCTTTGCCATTCCACTATGGCCCAGGAACCCTGAATAGCATTCAATTTTCAACTTGTAAATTGTATGTGCATGTATTGCATAAGTACAGGAAAATAACCTTATGTACATCTTAATTCATATTTCCTTACAAGAATTAAAATAGAATGTTTTTTTTTTAGCCCAACTGGCAGCACAGTGATTGGAAGTCAGAATCTACAAAAAAATTCATAATAGGCAAATTTATTAAGGATAAAACTCTGCAAAGCACTTTTGTAACAATTTTGAACACAGTTAGGTGATGGTCTCATGACACTTAGTGGTTGAATCATCTTTAGAGACAAGACTGACCAGGGAGCTAGTCTGAACTATATCCATCGGTGTAGCATATTTTTCATCCCCTGCAAGCAAATGATATGATAAAATGTGAAAACAAATCTTAACAGCCTAAGTTTCAAAAGTTGAATAAGAGCTAATTTTCAGACTACATTAATACAACCAACAGCAAATTAATACAAGTAACAAAAACATAAAATTAAAATTGGCTAGAAAAAAGGTAACTACAGGTGTAAATAAATGCAAAAAAAGCAAGAGTGTAAGTCATGGCATATTTATGACTATCATAGCCGAAGATATAGGAATCTTCATAAGAATGTGGGCATCCACAGCTAACTGAATACTATAACAATACCATAATTTCTAAGCCATTGTAGCATACAAGTTCATAAAAACAAATCAACACAGGTAAAATCTAAATAATATTTTTAATAAAGAGCCGAAGTTTGGCATGGCAGTCTTCTTAGTGTATCAATAATCCATGGTGCAGAGTTAGAGAGAACTGCGGTGGTCCAATTCACTAGAGCAAACAAAGATGCAAGCACTGTTAGTGACAAACCAAAACCATGAACACACTAATTCTATTGGTTAGCACATACAAAGCTGTAGTTGCATAGTGAAATAGTTGGACGAACAAGTATTTAAGACAACAAGATGAAATGTAGTGAGGCAGTCAATTTCATCACTAGGTCTGAGTGCAGGGAGGCTTTACTCATAAGGCTTTAGACAGTGTCTGGGAATTACCCTTGAAGGCATAGGGGAAGGCGTTCACAAACGAACAGAGTGGGAGGAAACAGGAATTCAGGACACAAGAGGCATTTCAAGGTTGAAAACCTGAAGGCCAGATCTGGAAGAAACAAGGTAGCTGTTTAGGGACACATGCCATGGTCTCACTAAAACCAAACACGAGCACATTATGAAAACACATGCTCAAAGTTGCACAAGGTGAAGCGTATTGGTGATCTATTAAAAAATAGCTTTGTCCTATGTTCAGTGCATAAGCCTTGAGTAAATAATTGAAATTCACTATACCAGATTTAAAGGTGGTAACTATTACAGCTTAATTTCACTGAAATAGGATGTCAACATATCATTGTCTGACACATGGATGATCTAAGATGTACAGAACATGAAATGAACAAAATAAAATTAGGGTACTTACATGTGTTCTGGGTGGTTCTTCAGGCTGTCAACCAGCAGTGCAGGCTTGATCTGACCAGTACAGATTTTGTGGACGGCTGTGAAGAGTGGGAACCTGGAACAAACAAATGATTATTACTGTTACAAAACACAAACTCCCTGTCAGCTGCCAAGTAGAAGCCTACATACTTGTCCTCCATGTTTTTCGCCTTCAGCATTACGTTAACTTCCTCAGCAGTGATGGGACCTTGGAGCTTCTGTCCATTGAGCATCTCAGCCTCCAAATCCACAATGGACTGAAATAAAAGCAAATTAGTGATGTGCAAAATTTAAGCAGAGTCAAAAATCATAGAGAACAAGAATTACCTTGCCAGTCTTGACGAAAGCTTCTGACACTTTCCTGTTGCGGCCACCATAGCAAGTTGTAATCAAGTCTGCAACACCACAGCTCTCGAAGAAAGTGCTAAGTTTGGAGCCAGGGAAGAAAGTGTCGACAAACTTGATCATCTCCATGAGACCCAATCTGATAACTGCTGCCTTGGTATTATCTCCAAGACCCAGGCCATCAGTAAAACCAGCAGCACAGGCAACAATGTTCTGAGAGAAAAAAAAAAAAGGGGGGTATTAAAAGATTACTTTTAGAAAAAAAAAGGCTGGCCAAAAGGGCAACGGCACAACACCTACCTTGAGAGCACCGCAAATTTCAACTGTGTTTCTGTCATCAACAACCACTACCCTAAAGAAGTCAGCTTGGCACAATTCCTTCAGGACAGGAGCCATGGCCTTGTCATTGCAGCCTGCAATAAAATTTGACATAGTTTACGGCTGAAAATGAGACTTTATGTGCTTCAAAAGAAGAAAATCACACTGTACCAATGGTGGTTTCACAGAAGTTGCCATCAGCAACTTCACCAGCTAAGTTGGCACCCATTAAGACTGCCATCTGGATTCCTAGCAAGCGGGTGATGATGTTGGAGATGAGGTCAATGCCACCACCCTCTGGTCGGTCAAAGCCCTGCCAAAAAGAAACAAAAATTTTAAACACTTAATAAATGTGAGATTGGATAGGCAAACTTGAAGAATTTAGCTCACCTTAATCAAAGAAAGTCCCATGCATGTTGGCTTCACTTTTCCTACAAGGCTCTGGCATAATCGAGGAATAAACTGGTGAGGTACAACAAAAATTAAGATGTCCGCATCATCAGCAGCTTCAACAAGGTCAGGAACAGCCACCTAAAACAGGAAAAAAAAGCACAGACTATAGTAAACTTGTGGCACACCAGTCATTCTCTCACGAACGAGACCGGTCATTCAAGATCGCTATCACGCAGTCAAGCTTATCTACCCAAGGCAATCAAGGGGAAGCAGATGTTTGTTTAAGATGTAAAATTTCCACTCCAAAGCAGCAGCGTATGCTCTTCAACCGTTCCATGTGTAGAGACAAGGCAAGCGAACACGAACGCTTATCGCCCAGAAGAGTGAAAGCATCGCTAGAGTTTACCCATCAATGTCAAATGGGTCCCGACGGCGGGTCAACTTTTTCGGGCGTATCTGGCCGGAGCCTATCAGGAGCGCCCCGACCCGACACTGCTGCGGCCGGCTGGTGGGGGCTCTAGGGGGGCCAGCCGCCCCAGCCGCCCCAGCCGCCCCAGCGCCAGCGCGTGACAGCGGCTTACCACACATCACCACAGACTAAAGACTCATGACCGCTCATGGCAGTGGCGGGGATGGGCGGGAACTCATGACAGGCCATGCGAGGCAACACCACCAACGCGCTGGCCCTCGTAGGTGCGCCTCGCGGCCAGCTCCTCAAGACACTCCCGCCCCACCTCGCCTTTCAAAAGGCGAGAACAGTGACCTCAGTGAACGGGGCAGCATGGGAGCCACAATCAATGGAAAAATCGTTCCCCATTCAATGCCTAGCCGGATGCCATCGGCGAGGCGCAGACACAATCCGCGTCCCCATCCACCCGAGCGATTCGGAAGAGTCGTTTCGCCGATCCGTCTCTCTCGCACCCATGGGGCTCTGTAAGGGTGCGAGAGAGACAGCGACCGAATCGCTCGACAAGCCCCCCGGGGCACGGCCGTTGGGCTGTTGGGCATTGGGCGCGGTGACAGGCCGGGCCGGGCCGCCCAGACAGACAGAATCAACGGATCAACGCGAAGCCAATCGCCTGGGACTGCCCGAGGCTGGGGAGGGGAGACTCGCTAATGGGGGGAGATACCACAGCTGCGGGAATCATCTTCAAAAGCCGACACTGTCAGGCAGGTGGGATATTGGGGTGACATTCTCTCCGTACAGCCCAAACGTAACCATAAGTCAAATGCTACTTACCACATTTTCAGGAAGTTTGTGTCCAGGCAGGTACTTGACATTCTCATGGGTAGTGTTGATAATCTCTGTCAGCTTCTTGCCATCAATCATTTCTTCATAAACGTACATGGTGACACGATCAACAAAGGTTGGTGACTTCTTGGCATTGGCTCCAACAATCTTGGCAATGGCAGATCCCCTGAAAGAAGAACGGCAATCATAAATGACAGCTAGATAGACTCGCCAATGGACAGTCAAGGGCTTCTGTTACATTGATACCATGTGGTGGTAGTTCAAGCAGAATCTTAGGAAAGGTGTGGCCAACTAGACACAGCACAAGCGTTATTGATCCAAAGAAAAAGAATGAACAGCAAAGACTAACATTACTAACAATGTCAGCTGTTGCACTGTAGCTGCCACCCTGCATGGTGTGGGGGTGGGGGGTGTATTATTGGGGTCCCATTTGACCTTCAATAAGATAGGTGACAAATAAGGTACAAGACAGGGGATATGTTGAAACAAGCTGAGAATCTCTTTTCAGAAGAGTATGAGGGAGCATTTCCTTCACTCAGACAGCAGGTTGTTACATCAAGTTATCAAGAACATTTATCAATCGTGTCGTCTGTAACCGGGAGCCAAACTGATGCTAGGGTTAAGAACAAGGTATAATTAGATTCTGTCAAAGCTCAAGGACAGCGACGACACCAGATGAAGGAGCAACTCAAACTGTTGGCTAAAGTCCACGCAAGCACCCATTCAATTGTATAGCAGTGCCACGAAACTCAAGAGCTGGGATAGTAAAAAAGAGCAGTCCAAACGAAACCTCAGGTCTATGGACAGTTGTCACCACTTACCAATTGCCGGAGCCGACGATGCACACTTTCTTGGGGGTTGACATGTTGACGGAAGTGCGAACACGAAAAGATAAAAGGTTCTTGAGATGAAAGTAACCGTCGAGTTGCGGATGATCAAAGTGCTCTGTGCCCCGGAACGAACGCCACAGAAGTGTCTGCTGTTCGTACCAGTCACAAAATATATGGTGGGGGCGAAAAACAAGTGACTGCCCATCAGCTGACTGGTCGAGTGCTTTCAGAAATGCTCACGTACTTTATAACTGAAAGAAAACGATTTTAAGACTTTAAAATTCAATATTTCACCAAAACAAATTTTAAAGTAATTTATTAACACATCTTAAACTATTTTGGAAGCTAAGCGGACCTCTAAACTTAAAAGCCGAGACACCAGTACAGTCACGCAAAGTAGGAATGTCTGCTCGTGTCTGCTACCTGTCAGCTTTGTTTACAACTTTTGAAGTTGATACGTGAAGGATAGAGCTCTCTTGCAAGGCTTCCGTAATTTTTGATTCCTTCTTAATCATTTTAAAGCAACGATTTTCTATGTGAAACTATGATTTCGGTCTCAGATGATTTATGTGTCACACTAATTGAATGTAAGTTAACTGTTACAGCGGCTTCCTTAAATGTTCTCCTATGTTAAAGCGCTTGCTTTATTTAATTTACTCATTTCTTTCCTTTAGTGGCCTCAGAATATGTGAAAGGACCATCACCTGTACTATCTCAGGAAAAACATTGTGTTGCTGTGAAAAATGCTTCACTCTTTGGTAAAATACTCCCCATTGTTGAAGCTTTCGTGCGAGGCCCAAGTGATAATTCAACCATTTCAGTCTTATCTGATAATTTAAACAGTCTATCGTAAGTATTTCACTCTCCCCTAAACTCATAACATTTTATTAAAAAATTTTGCTCATTTCATGACTGCTAAATTGTTCTGGTCTGGTCCATCTTCAAAGGTTATCAAGCAATTCAGCGGAGAAATGTGTAACATTCTTGAAAAGATTGAAGAGTGAAATTCATACTGATCCTTCCGCACACCATTTGTACTTCCCTTCTGTCTCTGATGTGAAATGGCGGGTAGATATCACCATATCATCCAGGTTTGTACATGTACTTCAAAACAGTTGTAAAATAATGTTACATGACAATACACTTAACAATATTATTTACTTTTTTCTAGCACTTTGTCTAGAGTGTTGGAACCAAACATTGTCATGGAGCTAGATCTTAGTGACGGGCAAAAAGTTACATTTGAGCTGTCTGTCTCAAAGTTTCATAAACTGAGATACACTGTTGCTTCTATTCTCAAAGAAATGGATGCCATGAACAATAGAATGAGCGCTGTCAAAATTTAGTGATACCGATACCCTGTGATGTTTGTATATTTTTCTACCGAGTAAAAACTTCTAGCTTTTGCATTATGGGACCTTTTTTCTCTCTCTCCCCCTCTTTGAATCAGTGTGAACAGCTTGCTACAATAAAACCTAGGATTGGATTCAAAGCAAAATAGCACGAGGAATTAAAAATATATTTATTTCCATCACAGACACAATGCAAAATTCATAGAAGAGCTCACAAGAAGAAAGCTCGTCAGTCGGTAACAGGTTTAGCCAGTCAATTGCTTATTTATTTGAAATCTAAAGGAATGTTGCAGGACAAGAATGCATTTGTTGCCAAGTAGAGGGCACATTAATACAGATGATAGCAATTTTTTAAATATATATAACCATAGTTTAGGAATCTTCTTGGCACAATTTGGCACTCACACAAACTGCAAATTCTTTAGTTCATCGCTGGTTCATCTCATCAAAAACATTGCACATTTTTTAACAGTATTCTAGTACAACTGGCAAATTGCACACACATCAAAGTCAAATTAATTAGTACTAAAAACTTCAGTTATTGCTTTGATACGTAATAAGACCAATACATCTTAACTTTCATACAACATTTCATAGTAATTTCATTATACAGTTCAAAAGTCCATGATATACTGCACCTTTGACAAAAAAAAGTAACAGAAAGGTCAAAAGGTCAGGCTCGCCTAATTTAACTCTCACAGGTTTGAAATAGATGACCAATCTTGCAAAATAGTAGATTTTGAGACATAATAAAATGAACACATACAACAAAAAAATAAGATAAAATAACAATGATTCATAAACAAACTATACATGAACACACAAAATATTGGTAGAGTAATCTTTCTTAGTAATTATTAAAAAAAAAAAACAGTAATAAAAAGTATGAGTTTAAAACTATATGTTTAAGACAAATATATACAAAAATAAATAGCCTATGTACAAAATAATTATAATGCACATCTCTATAGTTATTGCATAGATGGTCTCCAGTAACTCCTCTTTCCAGTTGATCAGTGTGTCTGTGCTAAAAACCTTAAAGAAAATATCATGAGGGTTGTTCTGACCACTAAGATTAAAGTGGAATGAAAACAACTAAGCATATCACAAGTAAATAATTCATTAACCTATTTAAAAATCAAATCGTAACTACACAACAAATGTAATGAGGACCATCAAGGGCTGGAGAAAATAGCACATGAAAATTGTAATCCAGGATCTACAAATGCTCTGCACTCACAGGCGTTTTGAGGCAACTTGTGTTCAAAGAAATCTTAATTTGTAACCAGAATATATACAGATGAAGCAAGTGACTAGTCTCCTGAGCTCACGGGCAGCAACTGCATTTTTGAGAAGCTCCTCTATCCTCAAAGCAAGTGACCAACCTCTCTGGTTATTGTCCCCTATTATCAGTCAAAAGTCCACATTAAGACACCAAGAAATGCAATGTACTCTAACTTCTTTCTTCATGAAAAATATGGTTTACTTTTCAGAAAAAAAAAGTGGAATGTTCAGGCTGAAGCCTTGATCACAAAACAAAGAAATACTTAAGGTTTGCTCAGATCATGTTTTTGACTACATCATCACTAGCACTTGAGCTTCCGCTGCCACTGATGGTACTGCTATTACTACTGTTGCTGCTACTGCTACTTGGTTCAACATTTGGTATGTTAAGAATAGTTGTGCTTGCTGTGCTTGCAGCACTAGAAGATCCAGCCCCAGATACACTACTATTTTTATCAACCAGTTGATGATAATGAGGTTTCCATGATGATGCAGGTCTGCTGTAGTCTAAGTGATCGTACTCAATTTCTATGAACAGAAGATTAAGAAACAAGATTACATATTTTTATCACTTGCAGCATTATAAAATAATATCCAATCCACCTCTGAGAAGAAACAAACCTGCTTCCTTTTTCTGAGTTATTTCATCATACAAATGCTCAACTGGCTTATCATCAACAGCTTGATACATGTTCAAATTAGGATTGCCCATGTCAGCACCCCAATTTTTGGCAGAAACAGGATGCTGGAATTCAAGCCCATACGCACCTGAAAACAAAATAAAAACATTTATCAAAAATTTCTTCCATAATAATGAGAACAGAGAATGCAACTAAGAGAAGGAAGTAAGTATACCCTTTGAACACAAGTCATCATCATCCTCTGTGCTACAACCCGCTCTTTGTCTCTCTATATTGAGGTTGTTTTTACTTCCCAAATTATTATGAATCATTTTATGCATGTTGTTAAGCGGCAGTAGGGACCCATCATCCGACCCAATACCAACAGTGGTGCCATTGCCTGCAGCCCTTCCTGTGTATGAATAGGCTGGATTGTCAAAGTGGTGACGGTCTGTTTGAAAGCGCAAAGGTTCCGAATCAGCCATGCTTGCTTTGGACAACACATATTTCAAACAATCGAAGACACAGTAAAACCAAAAACATACCTGGAGAAACACCTGGGTCAGCATGATATTGCACATGAGCCAATTCTGTCTTGAGGCTATTGACGCGACGTCTGTAGTACAGCCACAGAAGGAGAAAGACAGCAGAAAAGAGAGTTGCAACAATTGCTCCAGCCACAATACCAGAGTTACTTGACTGTGCTTTCCCTTCAACGTCATTTGCTACACCCAAGGATCCAGACACTGCTTCTCCCAACTCACAATTTTTACCTGAAAATCAAACCAAACTTTCTTAGTTAAGAGGTGGGAAAGTAAAGGAGGAAATAAAACCACTCTCAAGATAGTGGCAAAAATTAAGGGGAAGAAAAAGGAAGTGTTTCTCATTACCAGACAAACCTTTGCGGCAAACACAGCCACGAATGGGATGGCAGTCATATTTGTCCTCATTTCCACATTCACAAATATTCATGCAGTTTATTCCATATAATCCATCTGGGCAAGCTGAAAAAATGATAACAGGCAAAATAAAGCCAAGTTGAAAAAAAATAAGATTTCTTTGGGATTTACTAATTGTACTGGAAGTGTCTCCAACCCTACCTTCATAGCATTTAGGTCCAGTCCAGCCAGGTTCACAGTGGCAAAATCCATCATTGCTACGACAATGACCTCCATTCTGACATTTGCAAGTTTGGCCACAGTGCAATCCAAAGAAACCGCTGGCACATGGACTACCACACTTTTCTCCAGTCCAGCCAGGAAGGCACTGACAGTCACCTGGGAGGGAAAGCAGGAAAACAATTGCAGAATAATCAACCTGTGCTTTTTGAATGACGGGGAAAATGGCAATTTCTCTGGATATTCTGCAAATAAATACCTGTTACATAATGACATTTGGCATTTTTCTTGCAGTCACATTCTTCCTTGCAATCCTGGCCATATTTATCATCATCACAAGGGACTTCACACGATAAACCTTGGAAACCAGGCTTACAGTGATACTCCCCTGTTATGTGGTTACAAGCAGGGTTACCATTTACACCTGCAAAGCAAACATAAAATTTCGTATAATAATGATTTGTGCTACAATGAGGGGGGTTTAGACATGAGATACAAATTTTGCTAACCATATGCCCATGGAGGACACTCTTCTTTACAGCCTATTCCATAACGACCAGAGTTACAAGGTGTGCTGCATCGGTCTCCTTGCCATCCTCGGGCACAAATACATGCCCCACTAATGGCATCGCAGGTGCTGTTATTGGCACAATCGCATTCTTGAGAGCAGTCTTCTCCATAATACCCTTCCTTGCATTTTGTTGCACACCTCATTCCTCTCCAAGTAGTTTTGCAGAGACACTGACCCGTTTTGTGGTCACAACCGATTGTATTTTCGTGATCGCAATCACACTCAAACTGGCAGCCAAGACCATAGCGCCCCTCCTCACATTTTCGTTCACAAAGTTTGCCAGAAAATCCTGGTGGGCAAGTGCAGGTCCCTGTAAAACCAAGACAAAATCATAAGTACATGAAGTTGGTCACAAAATAATAATGCACCAAAGAGGGAATCATTCTCACCAGTAACTGGGTGACACACCCCTCCATTTGCACACTTGCAAGGTTCATTGCAATTAGAGCCATAGGATGTACCATTGCAGGGCCGTTCGCATTGAATTCCCTCCCACCCTGAGAGCAGAAAAAGGATAATAAGTATCTCATGCCTTCCATTTCACATAGGCATAGCCACAGCAAAGGAGCTCATCTTTTACCTGGATTGCAGAAGCACTGGCCATTCTCGTGGTTGCACAAAGCCCCATTGCAGTTACATTTTTGGGCGCAATCCTCTCCAAACTTTCCAGGAGGACAGTGAGATTCACATTCTTTTCCTTGATAGCCTAGCCAAACAAATCTCGATTATTAAACCTATGTGATCCAGAAATGAAAGTCGACCCAGACTAAACAGACCACTTACCTGCTGCACATATGCACGACCCATCAACTGGAGAGCAAAGGGCATTATTTTTGCAGTTACACTTCTGCTTGCATCCCACGCCAAATGTGAGCATCGGGCAAGGACGGGCGCACGAGCGAACATCCCAGCCAGCTTTGCAATTGCAAGCACCAGTGTGAGGATCACAGCTAAAAGAAAAAAGAAAAATGGATGTTAACATTTTTATCAAGTTGCATGCACTTTGTAATTTATTTGTAAGAATAATGTTACCTTTCCGTGTTGTTTAGCTCACAGTTGCAGACACCAGTGCAATTTTCACCATAGGTCCATTCAGGACAAGCGCGCTCTGAGCAATCAAAGCCTTTCCAGCCCTGCCGGCACTTGCAGGTGCCATTAATTGGAGAACATGTCCCACCATTTTTGCAGTCACACTTTTTGGAGCACTGAACTCCATAGAAGCCTTCAGGACATCGATCTAAGCACTGTAAAAAATAATAATTCAATTTTAATAAGTAAAATAAAATAAGTCTGGTCAAGAAAGTGCAAAGCCTTTTTAGTTACCTTATCCCCGCGGAAACCAGCTTGACATTCACATGCCCCAGTAATGTGATGACAAGGTGCACCATTATAGCAGTCACAAACTTTGGAGCAATTTACTCCCCAGAAACTAAAGCCACATCTGTTAGCACAGACATCACCCTAAAAAATGAAAATAAAATTTAAAACATGCAGCAGGGTTGTACAAGTAGCAATTTGAAAGAAAAAAATTTTCTTAAGTAGGTAAATGAAGCAGAGAGAACTTACAGTCCACCCAGGAGTACAATAGCATTTTCCTGTGGTAGGGTTACATGTTCCACCATTTTGACAACGACATTCGGAGGAGCACTCATTTCCATGTTTCCCTTCAGGGCACTGGCTCTCACACCTGAAACAAGAGAGATGAATCCATTCGTCCCTTGTTGTTAGTTTACCATCTGAATAAATATCTGGGAACATTAAATCCATACTTACAAAGGACCCATCCACCCGGAGGCACACTTGCATCCTCCTGAAATATGATGACAAGCTCCACCGTTTTGGCATTTACAAGTTTCTTCACAGTCCTGGCCGTATTTGCCAGCAGGACATTCCAGAGAGCAATGTTCTCCATGCCAGCCCGGCTTGCAGCTGCATTGGCCCGAAAATGGGTCGCATACAGCTTGGTTCACACATTGACAGCGATGCTCACAGTTTGGACCATAGCGATTGTCAGGGCAAGCTGTAATTGCAAGAATGATTTTAAAAATTGATTTAATTACAAAATTAGCAAACAATCAATCTTCAAAAGGACTTACTCTGGTTGCAAGTTGGTCCACCATAATTGTCCTCACACTGGCATTTGTTGGGTTCCACACACTTTCCATGAATGCATGGTGCCTCGCACTCGGCAATGCAGCGATTCCCACTCTGGATGTAGCCCTCACAGCATTCCTCAACAGGTCTCGTTTTGGACAATGTCTAGAATAAACAAAGAGAAATCCGTAAGAATCACAGCAGCATCACAATACTTACAAATGTTAACAAACAATTTCCACAAAAGAATTGCTTTATAGCATCAAAATCAACCAAAATATTGATACAAACTTGAGTAGTGTAGTGAGTTTGGAATTCCATCTTGTACTTGGAGCATCGCGGGGGTAAATTTAGGCACCATGTGAAGATCTTCTTTTGTACAGGTATTTGTTTGGATACTCTGACAGTCTGGTTGTATCTGAAACACCAAAGCAGAAAATCAGTGACCATTTTTTTTTAAATTTTCAAATACAAACATCTAAACGTAAGATGTGAAACTTACGCCGCTTGGCGGGTGCAGATGTGGGGTCCCTCCAGCGCGGCGTCAGCGTGCTGCACTGACAGCGTGACCAGCAGCAGCACCACCACCAGCGCCACGGGCACGGCCCGCACGGCCACCCGGTCCATGGTGAGCCTGAGGACGAAGACGAACAGCGGCAAATTAGTTTCATTAATTACAGCGCCTCATTTTCATTTCCAGGCTAGTCACAGCGTCGCAGCATCGCAGCCGCAGTTGGCAGCGACTTCCGGGAGCCCCGCGCGGCCCCAGCACGCCCCTGGCCCTGGCCTTCCGAACAATCGTGGCGGCACGGCGGAGAAAGCCAAAGCCAAAGCCGGCGCCGCGCCGAGCAGTGGCTCCTTCAGAACGGTGCTCCGTCTCTGTCTCTCTCGCACCTAGACGGCACGCCCCACGCGTGTGAGAGAGACAGAGCGACGAAAGCGCTGTACGAGATCAGCCTACTACCGCCCCAGTGCAGGAACCCCGTCGGGTCAGGGCGCCCAGCCGAGCTAATGACGCGACATCGCCCTCACTGTCGGGGGCGCCGAAACCAACGCCTACCCGCGACCCCTGGTTCGAATCCCGCCCCCCACTTTCCACTGCCGCTTTTTGTGGCTGTTTTCACGGCCGCGCCATTGCCTGCCGTATCCGCCAATTCAGCCAATCACCGAGCGCACCGCGCATCCTCCTCCACGCACGCAGCTACGCAGCCGAAACGCCGAGGCAGGCCGGCAGGCCGACACGCGGCGAAGACCCACCAGGGAGCACTTCGAGCCGACTAATGGGAGAAAGGCGTGTGCAGCGATGCACCCGAAAAAAGGGGGAGGGGCTGCCCTCGCCTCCGCCCTGCACGAGTCCTGCCCTACTGCCACCAGCCGGACCTGACGTAACGCGTAATTCAAGGGCAACGGCCTCGACGGCCACACTGTGCCCGGCTGCTTGGGGTCCGAAGGGCAGGGCGAGCAGGGCAGGGCGTGCGGGGCGCAGGCGTCGGCGCCGCGCCACGGGACCACGGACGGCGCAGTGCCGGCGGCAGAGGACGCCGGGTCACGGGTGAAAGCGAGAGGATCTCTCTGGAAGCGCTAATGGCATTTATTCGAGCAGGGGGCGCCGTGGCGTGCCGTGCCGCGCCCTGCCGCCACGCACGTTACCGACTTATTGGGAAAGTAAAAGCCCCGCAATGCATCATGTGGCGGAGCACGGCGTGGTGCGGTAATGGCGGGGCGTGTCCAGGACCACCCCACGCGGCAGCTCTCGCTTGCCCGTCCTTGCAGTGCAAAGCACTTTCCCCGATCAGGCGCGACACTGCCGCCAGTCAGTCAGTGCGCCGTCCGAGAGTCCCGTCTGTCCGCCCGCCCCGCCGGCCGCCAAGCGCGCGGTCCAGGAGTCACCAGGGCACTGCGGCTTTTCAAACTCCCACGCGCCGCCCGGTCTCGTGCCCCAGTTCGCCCCGCGCCCCGCGCCCCGCGGAAAGCCGCGCTCTCCAAATCCGCGGCGCGCGGCGGCCCCCCGAGCCGGCGAGGGCGACGAGAGGGCCGCCTGTCGTTCCTGAGGGCTAGCCGTGCCTGCGGCTGTCCGCCTGGCCACGCCCACCACACTGCATGTGTGCCGCGACACCTGCACGGCCACAGTGCGGCCGCGTGCCGATCAAGTGCCTGCCGGCGGACGGCGATAAGATAGCGAGGCCAAACAGCCTGTGCCGGCAGTGCCGGCGGCCGAGCGCCTGCGAGGCTCGGGGTAGGCCAGCCCGCCACGCCGCGCCGCGTTGCGGGGCGGCCCAGCCTGGACCTCGCAGGCGCCCGGAGCACGGAGCACAGGGCCGGACAGCGGCAGGGCGGCACACCCACCCACGCGCCGCCCGCAGTGCCGTGCCGCGCCGAGCGGGGAAAACCCTACTACCTCCACCCCACGGCAGGGCCCGTCCCAATCGACGACATCAATGAAACGAGAACCAGGGCGCCCGCACCGCGCAAGCCAGGCCGAAGGACGGACGCGAGCACGACCTGTCCAATTGAAAAACAAACCGTCCCCGCGGTGTGGCGGCGCGGCGGCGCCACTGGGACATCGCGGACCCGGCGGGCCCCGCGGACAACAGGAATAATACGGCGCAGGAAGGCGCGGCGGCGATAGCGCTGCATTGGCTGCATTGTGGCGGCTTGGGCTCGCCGGCTCGCCTTGCGGGAAAGCCGGCCTAATCTGCATCGGAAGTTTGTGATACTCGAGCCTGCGCCTGCGCCTGGGCCGCCGGCCGGCCGCACCCCGCCGCGGTGGTGCTTTGGGCCGAAAAGGTGGACGCGGGCGCGCTGTTGACTCGCAGCGCCCACAAATAGCAGCAGCAGCAGTGCACGCCAAGCGAAGCGCGAAGCACGCGAAGGAGTCCGTCGAGGCGACCAGCAGAAGCCCGCTGTGGTGCCCAACCCGTTTCCCTCACTTCTTGTCCCTCGCGAACCTCCATACTTGCACATCCGGCGGCCCACGCGCACACACTGGCCGCACCAAAATGGCGCACTGCTTGTTGACGGAGCGGCCAGGCGCGGTTCTCTCACACACCGACGGAAATGACTGCCTCACTGACTAGTCAGTCGGATGGGTGAGTGAGTAAGCGCGCCGAAATAGCGGCAACGACCAATAACTGCACGGCGCGGCGCGCGCGGGGCCCTGGGCGGCCCTAGAGGCCCTTGGCCATCCAGCCGAGTCGAGTCCGCCGAGTCGGCCAGGCGGAAAAACAGGGACGCGGGCCTCGGCGTCCGCGACCGCCTTGCACCGCCGGGACCAACGGCGCCGCCTTCAAGCAGTGCAGTGCCACGCGTGTTTATTGGCGCCGTGAAGCGCAGCGCCACGGCACTGCAAACCCATATGGCAGCGCCGGAGAAAATATAGGGGGGGGGAGCTTTGGGGCTTTCGACGGGGCGTGGGCGCGGCGAAGTCAGTCGGTGGGTCGGAGAGACAGCGAGAGACACGGGGAGAGAGAGAGGGACAGAGAGGGCGGAGCAGGGCAGTGCGCTCGACAGAGCTGGCGGGCAGGCGGCAGGCGACGGCCAGAGCCCAAACAAACACGGCTGTGTCTTCGAGGCAGCCCCGCCCCGCGAGCCCCGACAATGTGTGCAAGGAGAAAACGCCAACCCACCGGCCGGCGGAGAGAGAGAACGAGTCAATTTATCGAATGCAAAGGCCTGCTTTATGTTGTATACACACGCTCGGGAACCCCACCCCGTGCCGTCACTGTAAACTCTGCCAAGCACACTTCACCCCGCTGCTGCTAAAACTTTCAGCGCCGGGCTCGTAAACAGTGCTCCGGAAGTCCTTTGTTACTCAGAGGAGCTAGTTTAGTTTCGACGTCACCGACATATCCTGGTAACCGCCCAAAACGGGTCGGCCAGGACCGCCGCGTCGTCGTCCAGCCCAGGTCCTCATGGAAGGACGACCCTTCTTATCGCCGTGCTCCGTACTCGGAGGAGGCGAAGCTCCCTCAGTCTCCAGGTGTGGCCGCGCCGCCGAAACAGTTAGGCGGCCGCTTAGGCCAAGGCTCGGGCCGGGCCCCCTGAGGCCCCCTGAGGCCCCCCGAGGCCCCCTGAGGCCCCCCGAGGCCCCCGACCCCACGGGCCACGGCACGGCGGCCACCGTTTCGACGGCAGCCCGTTGACCCCGCGCGAAGCGCCACGCCGAGTCCGACAGTCCGACGCGCGTCCGTGAATCGGGCGCCTGGGCGACGCCGAGCCACGCCACGGCGACGCGGTGCTCGACGCGGTGCGGTACCTCTCGGAACGGCCGCGACGACGGTGCGAAACTTTGTGCAAATACCCCCCCCCCCTTCCGGCCTTCCCTTTCTGACGCAGTGGAACCTTTCCAAAAAGTGCAAAAAACAAACCGGCGCGGCGGCGGCGCGCACATGCACGCCGCTTTCGTGTTTGCAAGCCGCCCGTCTCTTTTTATACCCGGCCGCTGTGCAAATTCGGCACCAACTGGTCCTACACCGAGACAGGCACCCAGACGCACACGTCAGCGAACCGGCAACAATACTACATGCCGCGGCACGCAGCACTGGGGGAGGAGGGGGGGGGGCGTACGCGATAACCAACTTGGAATTCCCCCTCCACGGCCCGCCCCCTGTCCCCTCGCCGAGACGCGGAGCGAAGCGACAGGCCCGACAGGGGAGCAGTCCACGAGTGGCACAGGATTACCCCCCCCCCCCCCCCCCAACACACCGCGACGAGAAGCCTTCTAAACTGCAGCAGCGCGGCAGGCCGGCCCCGGCAAAGAGCCCCCGGCGAACCACCGCCAGCGCCGGGGCGGGAGAACGACGACGAAGAAAACGACAAATCGCGCGGGAAAAGCGAGAAAAGCCGCCCGGCGACAAAGTTGGACTGCCTTGCCTTACCTAGAGCCTCGCGGTGGAGGTGACGTCACATGGGGAGCGGCGGCAGCGGGCGACAGCGCCACCTTTGTTCCCTGCAGTGTGGGTCCTTCGGGCCTTCGGCTGCCGTCGGCGTCTTGCAGCGCGGCCTGCAACCGGGGCACGGTGCACGGTCAATTTACATGTCCTTCGGGGGAGCGTCTGTCTACCGGGGCCGGGGCCGCACGGCCGCACCAGAGCCTATGCCGCACTCCATCGGCAACACTGCAAAGCACCGCTGTCTTTGTCACACCCACTCCGCGATGCCCCGTGAGTGGAGTGCGAGAGAGACAGCCACGAAAACACACTGTCGCTCGATAACCCGTCCAGATGTGCCTCTACGGTCGTTTCAGCCGCCGTCGCCATGACAACAGATCAGCACAGCTGCAAACCTAAGTGCGTTTCAGCAGCCGTGGTCCCCATGGCAACCAGCCCGGCCGTACTTCAGGATCGTTTCAGCGGCCGTTGCCATGACAACCGCAGCTGTGGCTGCATCATTTCAGCGCGTCGTAAAGAGAATCCCCCTCCCAACTCCCGCTCCTCGAGGCGCGTTCTGCGCTCGTGGCTGGCTGGCTGGCTGGCGCAGCACGCCACAGGACTAAAGATACGCCTGCGAAGGACAAAACGAAAAGGAAAAGAATGCGGAAAAAAAGCCCGTGCGCCAGGAGGATGACGCCACCGAAGAGAGACGAGACAACAAAGAAGGGGAAAAATAAACTCGTTTGGGAGGGGAAGAAGATCGACTACCACTGAGCGCCCCATCGCCTCATCGCCCTGGACCCCAGAGCAGCGGAGGGGGTAGCCCAGCTTACTGCGAACTTTCTCGCATCACCATTACTCCTTTATAGAAAAAGTCTGAATAATTAATTAATGGAGAGTCACTGAATGAATCACTCATAAACATAGTGGTGGCGTTTGCCGTAAAATCGTGCCAGTCCGGAGTCGCGTGGACACCAAAACGCCGCGGAGGCAGGGCAGGCCGGTCGGGCCGGTTCGGGCCCTGCCATAATGCGGCAACAAACTCGCACGCCAAGTTCCCAGAACTTGGGGACGCACACTGCAGCACGGAGTCCGCGTCGGCCGGCTTGATTGCAGCCCCGCGAGCCGGACAGGCAGGCCGGCCGGACACGTCGCCGTCATCGGCCGCCGTAATGGTGGGCCTCCCCCACCATCTGGAGCACGGCGAGCGCAGCACGCCCCGAAACGTGCTGATAACACTGCCCGGCGGTGGACGGTGCCGGCCGGCACGGCGCTCGCGGACCGGCCGGGCCAGACCGCGGCCCCGCGGCGGGGAACGGGCGGGCAAGGTCGCGGGGCGGGGCGGCCGGCCGGCGACGACGACGAGGTGCTCGACGGCGAGGTGCTCGTCAGCGCCGCCGCCGCGGACGAGCGCGGCTTCGCCAGCCACTTTGGAGGCCTGCTCTCGCCTTCCGGGTGGGACGCCATGTCGGCCACGTCGGCCACGTCGCGGTGACTCGGCCACGCGGAGGCGCCAAGCACGCCGCTCCGCTCATCGGCATGCCCGGCCGTGGGAAACAACGGAACGACACGGAATGCGCACTGGCGGACGCCGCAGAAGCGGGCCAGGGGCGCCCAGCGGCCAGGGGCCACGCCGACGATAATAACAACGATCTGAGGTCACGTGGCCAAGCGGGCAGCGACAACGGAGCGGGCGCTGCCGGCCTGCGGTTCGGCAGGCACCTTTCAGCGCCTGCGAGGTCGGCCACCATCGCGCGCCGCTGCACACCGGCGTGGAGACGGTGGCCTACCTCGCCCGGGGGCAAAGTAGGCCACCCTCTCGTCAATGGTGTCTCGCGGCGCCGAAGGCGGCAAGCCAGCGGTGGGAGAGGGCGGCTGCCAAAACCCCAAGCCCCACAGGTAGGCGCGTGGGAGTACTGCCGGGTACCGCACTAGAAAACTCAAACCCGCTCCGTTCCGTTTCCGCTCCGCCAGCAGATGAGCCGTCACGCCTTTATCTGTCTCAATTAGGAGAAAGCGCGCGGCAGCCACGCCACGCCACGCCGCGGCAGGAGGTCAACGAGAGCACGGCGGAGACCGAGCCTCGTTTTCGTCGCTCTGTCTCCCTCGCACGCAGACGGGCCGCCCCACGAGTGCGAGAGAGAGAGAGAGAGAATGCTGACTGACCGCGGCCGCGATAACACCGGGGCGTGAATCGTGAATCACACCCGCGGACGCAGTGGAGCAGCTTCCGCAGAATGTTGACGACGGCGTGCTGCCGGCGGGGAGGGCAGGGCAGGGCAGGGCAGACGCCGCCAGTCCGCGGACGGCGAGCGAGAGTCGCGGCGTGAGTCACCACCGCGTCGACCAGGCCGCCGCGGCGGACGCGTTTCGGATCTCGTCTTTTTCCAGTCCACAGTTCGCGCTCCGCGGAACGCGCCACGCCGCGGGCACGCGGCAGGACGCGCAGGTGGCGACGCCGGTGGAGGGGGCTCCGTCGGCGCGCCTTCGCTCTGCCTACACCGACCAGGCCGGTCCGGCCCAGCGCGCCGTCCATCAGAGACCTGCCAGTGCGCCGCGCCCCACATCAAGCACGAACAAGAGAACGCTTGCGCGCCCCGGGGCGCCCCAAAGTTTGCCAACAACAGACGGGATGGTTGCGGCCGGGCCTGCCGCCGGGTCTGCCTCCAGCCGCCCCTTGCCCAACGCGATGCTCGGGGGGACATGCGGGGCGGCGGGCAGGGCGGCCGGAAGGTGCCGCTATCACTGCACACTGGGCGGTGCACGCGGACACGGCGTGCACGACGTCCGTCGTCGTCACGCGCGCCGCGCGCCGCGCGCCGCGCCGGGGAATAGGCCGGACGACACTCCGCTGCATTCCGCTGACCGCAGTGTGCCGAGCGAGCTGGCGACGACGACCAAGGAGCGCGAGAGACAGAGCGACGAAAGCCACTGCCACCGCGGGCCACGCCACCACCGACACCGTCCAGATGACCACGACCAGGGCGAGATGGCCGTGCCAATAGATTAGCATGGCCACGTTCCCATTCCCCACACGTCCAGTCGGCCACGGCGATTGCTGCACCGCGTGGACGCACTTTCACCCCCCCCCTTTCCCCCTGACTCTCTGCCTGTCGCAAATTCGCGCGCGAATCAAGGCCTACTCCATACACAAATTGCCGTGCTGGCCTAGGCGAGGCGAGGCGCTCTCGCATCGCCACGCAGCAAGCAGAGAGGCCGGACAGGCCTAGCCAGCCGTCTCATTCTGTCTCTCTCGCACCCCGACGGACCGCCCCATGAGTGCGAGAGAGACAGAGCGACGAAAGCAGAGCTCGGAATCAGACGGCAGGCAGCCAGGCGGGCAGGCCGGACCCTCCGACTCTACTAGCAGAGTCTGCCTTCATTCATAATGGACACGCTGGCTGGCCTGGCTCAAGCTAGAGCCTGGCCTGGCAGGCCACCATCCCAGCCGTACCGCACTGCATCGCAAAGGCAGCCGACCAAGAAGGCCACGAGGCAAAAAAAATGAGGATGCGGAAAAAAAATATCAAAATATTCCGTCAAATTTGGTGCAAAGGTATAGATATGACAACATTTTTTTGACGCCGTTTTAACCTTTAGGGTCTTTCCACACGCAAACGCACACGCAGACACACATAACTAGTTAGTTGGCCGCTCCGTCCCCCCCCCCTCCCTCTCCCTTCCCGCAGAAGAGCCCAAGGCCGATGCAGCTCGGCCAGACTCCAGCGCTGCGTTCCAGCGCGGCAGCACCAGCAGCCACTCCACTGCAAGTCACACTCACACCTGCATCGTGCACACACACAGACACACGCACGCAAGCCCGTCCCGTCAGCACACGAGTCCGCATGCGAGTCACCTGCGCCGCACCATTCGCATATCCTCCGCCGTGCGAGATGCACGTCCAAAAAAGAGACAAGTTAGGTGAAAACCAAACTCCCTCATTGGCTGCGGCATGACGGCGGCGGCCCTTGGCGGACTGGACGGGAACCTACCAATCGCCGCGCAACCAGCAGCAGTGACGAAAAGACGCGCCATCGCAAAACCATCAATCCATTCCTTCCATTGTACGATTCCGCCATCCTTCGAGACGCGCGTCGTCGTGCCCCTGCCGAGCGATTCCGAACTCGACGCTCCGTCTCTCTCGCACCGCTTCGAGACGCCCACCGCGTGCGAGAGAGACAGAATCAGACCGCCGCCGCTGCGCGCTGCACTTCCCCGCCGCAGTCCGATGGCAGTGCGCAGTCCGCGGCAGTCCGCTTGCGCAAAAGGCGGCAAGGGAAGCGTCCGTCGAAACGAGAATGACAAAAAACAAGCGGAGCGCGTTACGCAAAATTGGCGCCGATCCACCGTCATTCAATTCCCCCGAGCGCAACGGCGCGGCGGCCGAGCCTCGCCGGCGAGCCCATCCAGTGCTGCTTCAAGGTCCGCGACGACGCCGTGCCGCCGTGCCGCGGGCGACGCCTCGCCCCTTTGGTTCCCTCTCCTCAGTGGCGCGGGCCGTCCTTGAGGGCGCTCGTCACGGTGGTCGGGCCTGCCCTGCTGCGCCCCGCCGTCGCCGTCCTGGCCGGGTGGCCCTGTCACCACCGCGCGGCGCGGGGTGGCTGCGCTAGCTGCGCTGCGCCGCGGCCGGGGTGCATGGCGGCGACGATGACGACGGCGGCGACGCGTGCACGCCCCTTGCGCCACCACGGGCAGGAGGGCGTTGACGTCCTCTGCGCTGCGGATGCCCCCGCCCCGCCGCGCCCCGCCCCTTCTCCGCTCGCGGCTCGGCGTCTCTGAGAAGTGCCCCGCCAGCGACTCGACTCGACTCGACGCGGGGCGGGGCGCGGCGCGGCGGCTCGAGTCGCGATAGCAAGCATGAGCCCGGGCCGCGGACTGTGGCTGAGCGAACAGGACACCGCGGGACAAAAGCGAGCGCATGGGGACACACGCACCCAGCCGGGACGAGTCGGACGAGCACGGCGTCGACGGCCACCCGAGGCTGCAGCGGCCTGGCCGGTGGCGGTAATGTGCTCGCCCCGGATGTGCACCGTCGACGTAAACATCCTTCGGGCGCACATTTCGCACCGGCCGGCAAAACACGAGCATGCGCATCCCGGCGGGCACTCTTTGTGCCGCTGTCGCGCTGTCG